TATATTTATTTTTAATATTTTATTATACATTTAATAAGTCAAAGATGATGTCAAAGTGAGTGTAGATTCGTGGTAATTGGCATATATCACCTTATCAAATATGTCCTAAGCTGTCGACATGAGCGGTCAGCAATACATTTACTTATTCTCTTAAGATAAGGATTCAAAATTTCAGTTTAGTGTACTAAAAAAAATAGAAAATTGTTTTAAATTTAATTTGAAAACAATTTGAAGGACAAAATACATTTTTGGTCCCTGAAGTTTGAGGTAGGTGTCTACTTAGTCCCTGAAGTTTCAAAATGAACGCTTTTGGTCCTTGATGTTTAAAGTAGGTGTCAAATTGGTTTCTGAAGTTTTAAAATGAACACTTTTAGTCCCTGAAGTTTGAGATATAGTTCTAAATAGTCCATGATTTTTTTTGTGTGTTAATTAACTAATATAAAAATGACGTGGCAAATTGCAATTAAATTGTTTATTGTAGTTGTTGATGTGGCAAATTATATTAATTAAATGATATATGTCAGGTATGAATGGCGGACAACGGTGGTTGCCGGAAAAGGGTGGGAGAAAGAGAGAGGAAGAGATTAGGAGATGAGAGAGAAAGTATAATCACCTACGCATATATTATTTAATTAATATAATTTGTCACATCAGTGACTATAATAAACAATTTAATTGCAATTTGTCATGTTATTTTAATATTAGTTAATTAACAGTAAAAAAAATCAAGGATCATTTAGAACTATTTCTCAAATTTCAGGGACCAAAAGTGTTCATTTTAAAATTCCAAGGACCAAGTTGACACCTACTTTGACCAACCATGTTAATTTTGAAACTTCAGGGACCAAGTAGCCACCTTCCTCAAACCTGAAGGACCAAAAGTGTTCATTTTGAAACTTCAGAAACTAAATAGACACATACCCTAAACCTCAGGACCAAAAATGTATTTTGCCCCAATTTAAACGGTAAAACAATAGCAAACCGTTTTAAATTTTAATTTGAAAATTATTTTTAATAAAAAATACATCCAAAGCCATAAATTATATTTGACTCATTCCCCATTACACATGTCACATAGTTGAGAGAATCTAAACATATAATTTGAAAGGTCAAATAACATATATCCTACTTAGAATTAAAATACTTCATGAAAAATGAAATCTTCACCCTCTTTCTTTATTTTATTTTACTTTTTTATTTTGTGAAAAGAAAACAAACATTCTACCCAAATACATGGTTCAACTTTACATGCCAAAATTTATCATTGCTTTTGGACTAAACCCTCTATTTGGTTTCCATATTAGACTTTGCTTCTGACCATTTAAAGGTCAAATAAAGTAGGTGGAAACTTATACTAGAAAATTGATTCTAAGTTAAATATGTAATTTACTATATCAAAATTAACCAATATGATCGATCTTTCATTTATAACATGGAGAATTTCTTTATCTAAAATAGTCAAAGTGAGAATTATGAAAGATATCTTTTGAAGAAAATAGGCTGTTGTCCTTGTATTTAATTCAATAAGTGATCAATTTTAATTTCTTCAAATGAAATCTTAAATTTAAATATTGTTGGTGTATATTAGAATAAGACTGATGTTGACTAGTCAAAGTGAGTATAACTCCGATAATTGACATATACCTCCAACTAAGAGGTTGTGAGTTCGATCCCTTATCTCACATGTTGTACTAAAAAAAGATAAATGTTGACTAGATTATATAGTAAATTTTGCTACATGAAAGGGGTAATTTTGTAAAAGACTAAGAGACGATGAAATCCAAAGAATTTGAAAAATATACATCTTTTCAAAACCAAAAATTACAAATACAATTTTCATTAAGATTTATTTTCCTAAATTCTTGAGGCATTTATTTTGCCAAAAACATCTTTTTCTCCTGGCACAAGCATAGTTTAATTTGTGAAGACGTTATATTTACCCTTTGAAGTTGAAGATTTAAATCTTCCCATCGTAACTTTTTAATTCAAAAAATATATATTTACTTTTAAAACAAATATTTTTTTAGACCAACATATCGGTTTCTATCCTACCATATATTTAAGAAAAAAGTATTTACAAATATAACAACTTATAAAAGTAAATTTTATAGAGTAAGATTCGGAGAGACATAAAGGATATTATGAAAAGCTTACAATACCAAAATCTTTAACTTGGGATTTATAGCTTCCATGCATTTTTCCACCACTTTTTTTTTTTTTAACTTTCATATAATACTTCTCCATAAACATGTTTCTTAAGGGGCAATTCACACGAGGAGCAAGTAGAGAAATAACCTTTGAGGGGTTGTTTGGTTGAAGGTTTAAAATATATAGCTTGTGATTAAGTTGCGTGGAAATCAAAGATAAACTGTGTTTGGTTGTGTAGGAGAATGTTAACAGAATTTTATGGAAATAAATGATTAATATGCTTATTGTTGAAGGGAGTGATGTCATATTTGTTTTAAAATTAATCAAAATCAACTCTCAACCATTAATTCACCTTATATAACTTTAAATAAATAATGGGTAGTTAATTTATTTTTATTAAGTTAAATTATTAAAAAAAGTAATTATAAACTTTTTTTTTTAAGAAAAAGGTTTCAACCCTTTAACTTTCTAGTTCTAAAATTTTATTTTAACATTTTTAAGGGGCAGAGTTAATTTGTTGCTCAACTTTGATTTAAAGGTAGAAAAGAAATTTAAATTTTTGTCAAATAACTAATAAAGAAAAAGATACGATAGGAAAAAATAAATAGTAGAAAAAAACGGAAGAAAAAAAAGAAAGTACAAACCAAAAAATCAAATAGCAAAAAAGAAACGAAAATAGAAGGCAAATAAAGAGGGAGAGGAGAGAGAGATAATTTTAGAGGAGAGGGGGAGGATTTTTTGGAGAGAGAGATGGGTTAAAGAGAAACTCCACAAACTCCATTTAACGTGTTAATGATGTGAACTTTATATATGTCCAAGCTCATTCCCCCTCTTGAACCCTCCGACCCAACGGCTCCAGGAGGAAGAAGTTAGGATGATGAAATAGAATTCTTCATGCTTGTGTGGCTAAAAGGGTTTGGTTGAAAGCCCTTAAAACCAAAGGCCCACTTAGTTTTTGGGCCTACAAATTTCTCTCCAACTCTTCTAATCTCTCTCATGCGGCCCTTATTCATTTGTTGCTTCACTCAAGAATTGGACACCATCTAAGATGTTGAAAGACTTTCTTGAGAGCTCAGGATATGTTTGAAAGTAATTTTGGTTAAATATAAATTCAATGGTATATTATGGTCGAATATTACCATTTTAAATAGAACTGATTCTAGCTCTGATTTTAGTCTTTCAAACATGTCATTATATACAATGAAATAAGTATGATTTTAGAAAATGGAAAATAAACATGCCCATGGCTCCATCGCTTTGATTAAATTTCCTTCCATTGTTTGGGATATTAACCGGATTTGGTAATATTTTCATTTTTTGTTTATGTTTCTTCTTTTTCAATAAAGAAAAATAGAATTACATAACACCAACACCTATGGATTCAAGAATGATAAACACAATGATTTTATTTATGTTTTGGAATAAAATGGGGAACGAGAACAAGAAACAAGAACTTGTTTATGTTTTTTCCAAAATTTCTATACACTTTTAAGAATTAAGAATATTCCAAAAGATGAGAAACAAAAAACATAAATATACGCTACCAAATGTTTGGATTTCTTAATAAAATTGAAAATAAGAAATAAGAAATGAAAATGTTGTCAAACGGACATTATGAATATGTTTAATTACTTCCCTGTTTATAAACATAACCTTGTATTTCTTGAAAGTTGCTTGTTGCCTCTTTTTACCATATAGATCTTGAGTTTATTTTTCATTAGTTTTCAAACTAAATCCTACCTTTTTTTTTATTAAAAGTAAATAAGTAAAATGAAGCAATAATTCAGGAAGAAAAAATGATTGATACTAGGACATACTAAAAAAATATTTATATCATTATTTTTTTTTACAACATGTGGGGATGAGAGATCGAACTTACAACCTCTTGGTTGGAAGTATATGTGGAGCTATGCTCACTTTGACTTCATATCATTAATCTATGTCTCTAGAAGTATTTTTGTACAAGAGATGAGATATCTTCTGCACATATTAAAAATAAGGAGATAGAGGGTCCTCTTATTGTAAACCATTTTTGGGGAGAAAATGGCCAACCAAGAGTGTCAGTTAATCAAGATAAAGAAATTCATGCTCCCCACACATTTTATGATCTTATAAACAAAAAGATCGTTCAACCCCATTTTGGCCCTATACAACTTTGTGAATTCGACATCTTAAGTCTGGAGAGATATAACTGGAGGGTTTTAGAAGTCTAAGTTTAGGAAAACTATGTTTGAGGTGGAGGTTAAAGAATAGTGTTTAGAAAAACCATGAGAGGCACTAAGTTTGGGAGGAGTAGGTTTGGAGTCCAAATAAAACTCCGTGATATTATTCAAACATAACTCCAAGCTTGACAAATCCACGAGGCAACACGTGGGTTCAATATCTTGAACCAAACCCACCTAAACCTAAACTTAAACTCAAACCCAAATCCTCACCCCTGAAAAAACTCTCACTCAGTTCTCTATCACAATCGTTACTCATCTAATTTCAAAGCAACAAATGAGTTGACCCAAACAAAGCATCTTGTACCTATAAAAAAAACAATTCATAACGAGTCAAGTCTATTAAACATCAACCCACTTTTGCTATTTGAAAATGTCAAAATTCAAAGCTTTTCTTGAGGTAGATTAGGGTTTTGTACCTAAAATCACAATTTTTATTTTTCTTCTGATTTTCACTCTAACATTACAAATAAGGAGATGGAGGTAGAGATTTTACGTAAATTGAGTGAAAAAGAATTTTNAAGGGATGTAAGTATCAATTAACAAGAATCGATGTGGCATTTTTGCATTGAATTTGAAAGCACAGCCGTATCCAAATCCACAAATATCCAATATCCAATATCCAATACTTGGTAAAAAGGGTCACGGAGGCCATCCATGCCGTGGGGATTCGCTACGACTCTACGAGCTTCTGCTTCACAAAAGGGGCAAAAACAGAAAGAGAAAAAAAAGTGGCTTTTAGAGGCTTCTGCCTCTCCACCAATCGCCCCTTCTTCGTAGACTCATGGACTGCACTTGCAGCAATTTCAGGAGCTCCACTGCTCCTCTTTCGTGGGCACCCTCTTCCTCTTCTCGGCTCCCGCAGTCCCTATTCATGGTATGCTTTGTTTTTTTGCCTTCCCCATTTCGTCCCCTTTTCTTCTTTGCCTTCGTTTCTTTGTTTATGGTGGGTTGTTTCTCATTATTGCAGAAATTGAAGCGTTTGAACTTGATTAAACATTCTGGGGTGGTGATGAGCGTTTCTGGGTCCGGCGAAAATGGCTCCCTCGATAGGTTTCCCCTTACACCCAACAAGCTTTTCATGCAGGAGGTGCTAAATTCTCTTGTATTTTCGCGATTAAGCTTTGGGATTTTAAGTTTTTAAGTGATGGGGTTTTCATACGTTTCAATGTTTCAAGTTTCGTGAACATGTTCTATTTGTTTGTTGCTTTTTCTGATCAATGTTTGTATTTCAGGCGATTGGAGCTGAATATGGAGAAGGATTCGAGACTTTTAGACCGGATGGTCCGATGAAAGTTGATGTGGTAAGGAAAAGGTCGACCCTAAGAAGCACGGACCCGACATCTTAAGTTCACGGACATGTCAAGGACACGTTTATTACAATATACATTTCTTAAATATGTATTACTTTTACATATTCAATGATTCTCATGAAAAAAGTTTGTTTTAGTTTATGATCCCATCCCTATGCATTTATGATACAATGTCTTATGTCCAAATGTTGAAGATAAGTATCGGACCCATATTCAAATTGTTCAACTAGTGTCGGACGTGGACATGTTTCCATGCTTTATAGAGTGGACTAATACAAGTTATATTCAGCTACTTATATTCAGGTTGCTTATTAAGCTTAACTTGAGAGTTTTAATCCTTATTCCAATTTTCAACCAGGATTTTTTGAACGATAGACTGCAAGAAGGGTTTCTTCGACGAATTCGTTATGCTATGAAACCAGATGAAGCATACGGCCTAGTTTTCTCTTGGGATAATGTTGTGGTAAATTATGTCTCCTTACAAATTCAACTTTTACGCTTGCTGGTTATTGTTACTTCCATGCTACTATATGTCCTGATTATATGTATATAATTCTTTTCAGGCAGATACTCAAACTTTAAAGTTAAATGCATGGAAGCAACTTGCCTCAGAAGAAGGTGTTGTTATATTTCTTTGGGAATTACTGTATAGAATCTAGATGCATATATTTGAAGTGTAGACAGAAGAAAAAAGAACAAAATTATACAAAGCTTTTATTTAAAATTTTATAAGGATCAATGTCTAATAGGAGCCAGCCTAGATGTAAAATGATATCAGAATTTACATTTCTACCCTTGATTTTGAAAAGACAAGAGGTCTGTGCCTAATGTAATCAAACTATCAAGTGATTAGGTGGTTAGTCTGCTAGATGTCGAGCGAACAGATGATGTTACTTCCATATTGGTTTGAGAAATGAGGAGATATAATCTCTTTTTGGTTTAGCTTCCTCTTTTTTCTGAGGATATTCGAATTATGGAACCTTTTTACATTTGTTTTCTTATTTCAATTGTAATTACTGTAGGAAAAAGAGTTCCTGAAGATGGTGATGTGCAGAAGCTAATGCTTTATGCAGGTGCAGATCAAGTACTGCAGAAGGTAAGTTTCTTTATCTTCTTTTTTCTTTTTCTTTTTCCTCATTATAGAAATTAAATATGTTTTAATAAAAGTTGGCTGGTTTATTACCTTTATTGAAATATGCTTCCCATCGTACTTGCATACAAAAATATATTTCTTTCTTGGAGAAGTAACTAATGTTCTGTAATGTTAGCTATCCGAAAACTGCGCTCTAATTTACAGTCACTCGAAAAAAGATCATTAATTTGTATTTCAATTGCGCGGTCAGGATTAGAGAGGTTGCCAAGTTCTCAAACACTTCCCCCAATCCTTGTAAGCTCTGTTGTTTCTGTCCAGCCATAAGCCCCATACTCCATAGGATGTAATGGATAGATTGATTACATTAAACCACAGATTCTATGCTTTACTCCATGAAAGTATGTTATGCTTTACTCCATGAAAGTATGTTATGCTTTACCCTTGAGCAAGTAGCACAGTAACTGGATTAAATTCTCCTCCAATTAAGGATAAAATACCCATGAGACATGAGTATCCAAACATTCGGCGAATGGAGCTCCAACGCTTCTTGCTGTATGGAAGAGAGAGGTTGCTATGTGATGAATTGTTCTTTTCTTTTCTTTCTTTCTCTCTCCTCTGCCTCATCCTTTCCGCCATCTTCTGATTTTACACCTTTTCAACTCAGTTTTTACCTTTTCTTCCTTTCATTTTGTATTGTTCTTTCCCCCCCAAAAGGAGTTGGCATCGACAAATTATAGATGGAAATTTTTTTCTCAATAACATATCTCCTGTCTTTTTGTTTGACCCTATTGTCTTGGGCTGTTTTTTTGTACGCCCCTGTGGTCTTTGTTCTCTTTCATTTTTTCCCAATGAAAGCTTGATTTATTATCAGAAAACATCTCTCTCTCTTTCTCCTTCTATGCCTCTCATACACACATCAGCATTTGAGGCTTGAGGGTTGTACTTGTGTTACTTGAGGTTTTCTTGAATTTGGTAAAGATTCATGTAATAACATTCGTGAGGAGCTTGGATACCTTAATCTAGATGCATTGTTGTGTGGTTAAGGATAAATAAAATTCCTTAGCAATATTGGTGATGGGTGAAGTCTAGAGATTATTCAATGAACTCCAAGAATGAGTTTGATTGGATTTAATTACATTGGAATTTTTTTTTTTTTTTTTTTTAATGCTTTGTACCTGTTCGAAGGTTTGAGGAGTTACAATGGATAAGTTTTTTGCTTCCACAGGAAGTGAAATACTTACATCTCCACAAATATTACTATTTCATTGAGTCACGCCCCAAGATAGTGCCACATTTCTTATGACTTTTTACTGGTGTAACTGACAAGAATCTGTTGCTACCTTAGAACTATTATAGTTACCTTGTCAGTTCTCTCGATAAGTCTTGTAACTTCCTTGACCTTTAGACACTAGCAGAAGTCAACTCTCATACATCGGTCTTACAATTGCAAAGATGTATTTGTGGTAGATAGTTCCACCACCCCCACCCCCTGATAAGAGACAAAAATGTATAAAGAGTAACAAGAAAGACAGCCTAAGGGCTAAGAGTAAGGGCAGGGGGACAAAGAGCCCCCTCCCTAAAAAACTAGTGTAGAGTAGTGTTCCAATCTTGAAGAATCATGGCTAGACTATAGTTACAAAAAAAATCCCTTTGGTTAAAGCACCATAAAGGGGCCAGTCAGCTGTACACTATTACAAAAATATTGATGAGAGGATTGTTTGCTGTGAAAAACTATCCGATTTGTCTCCCAAATACACCAAAAAAGGGCTCTTGCTGCACAACCCCACATAACTCTAGATTTCTTTTTAAGCCTATCATTTCCCCCTTTTGTGAGGTACAAGACTATTTCGATTTTCATCAAATTATTTAGAGAGAGTTATCCCGCGCTTCTAGCATATTATCTACCTACCTACATTTGGCATACGAGTACCCTGTACCCTTTTGTCTAGCGTCATTTGACAGAAAATGGTAGCATTGAAACATTCACATATTGCCATTAATCATTTTTTTAACTGGAAAATATATTCTGTGTTGTAAGTCAAGATGATAGTATAAATTAATACAATAATTGGTTTCTTAATCAATTATACTATAGCATGCCGAACAAGAGAGCAGGAGTGTCTCTTTTAATAATAATATAACAATTGAGAGATAATGTTTTAGTCATGGACTAAATTTTCACGTACTTTTTTTGTCTCAAGAGAATGAATGGCGGTGGATATTTTAGTAAAGTGAACAAAAAACCCTGACTTCTTTCATCATGATGCAAAAGGTAACAAAAACATGAGGAAGACAATCGCCTCTTTGAAGGTGTTTGATCGAATCCAATTCTTATTTTATTGATATCGAGAGGTACAAACTTGGGGAAGGTTCAAGGGCTCCCCTCTCTCCAAAATAACCAACTGACTAAGCTTACTAAAAAGATCTCTCTTTCCGTATCCGCTATACACATATATACCCTACTTTGTCCACACTCATTCACACCTCACAGTCACGCATTTTTCCCCACTCCCCTCATTCTCTTCCTACAGTAGACATTAGTAATTGGGGGCCTATACCTATCAGCTATCGGTGTTCTTCATAGCCAACTTCTAGTAACTAGTGGCTTAACCCCTTACTCTTAATTTAGCATCACCTTGTAAACACTGATTCATGGTAGCTAGAACATGGTGTGATAAGAAGTCTGAAGCACTAGCTGGTACCTGGTTTTTTTAACTGTTAATTTCACTGTGATTGCTCCATTCTATTCCTTGCTTATCTTTTTAGTTTATGATCTTGCACTATTTTCCCAATTATCAACAATTTCTTCTTTTAATGCTTTTGACAACTCTGTTAAACCTTTCAGCTTCTTCTTTGGGGCATAGCAGAAAGTGAGCTGGATAGATTGAAATTGAGGTTTTCACAGTTGTATTACAGAGGTCTTCTTTCTGTGAGTACTACTTCCCATACTTGTATAGATTGTCTTAGTTGTTAGATTGATCGAACAGAAATTATGTAAATATTTTCTTATTCAGCTTAAAACACCGATTGACGGCCTCAAAGAGTGGCTGGATGCCGTGTCTACAGCTCGCATTCCCTGCGCCGTTGTTTCAAGTCTTGATCGGAAACACATGCTTGAAGCATTAGAACGGATGAATTTGAAGAAATATTTTCAGGTTGACACATTGGTTCCTCGAACCTTCTCTTGCATGCAAAGCTAGAAGTCTGAATAGCTTTGACTTTCAAGGTTATGTTTAATAGGTTATTGAACTTTCAATTTTGTGTCTAATAGATCCACGATCTATTAATATTTGATTAAATTCACGGATTTATTGGACAATTTTTGAAAATCCAGGGATCTATTAAACACTGTTTAAAGTTTAGGATACCACCCTCAAAGTTTAGGACTAAACTTAAATTTAACCAACTTTATTCTAAGCCAGATAGATAGCATAAATGGGCAGATATGATTACTTTTCATGATTTTTATATTCAAGTAATATTTTGGAATTCTCCTGAACGGACTTTCATTCAGTTGTGTTTAACCTATTCGTGGCAGCCTGTTGACAATCAAACCATTAGTAGAAATAAAAGGCAATCAAGACATTGAATTAGTGTGGATTGTGCTTATTTTATTCGATGTTTACTATCTTTTTGCAGGCAATTGTAACGGAGGAAGACGGTATGGAGTCAATGGCTCATAGATTTCTATCTGCTGCTGTCAAGGTAGAGTCCATTTTGCATACTGTGAAATTCAACTGAAATAGGGAAGCATGCACGAAATTTTAACTTATGCTTATACTCGGTTGCAGCTGGATCGAAAGCCTTCCAAGTGTGTGGTGTTTGAGGACGATCCTCGGGGTATAACCGCTGCTCACAATTGTACAATGATGGCTATAGCATTGATCGGTGCCTACCCCGCGTATGTGCCTCATAAGAAACTAGATTTAACCAGTTAACAATACTATGCACACACGTTAAACGTCCCTAGTTCTTGATATATATACCTGAAAGATATAATGTGCAGATACAATCTAGTACAGGCCGATCTCGCAGTTGCTAGCTTCAACGAGCTCTCGGTGATCAACCTGCGGAGGTTATTCGCAAACAAGGGCTCGACGTTTATGGATTTGCAAAAACAGAGTGCCGAGAAAGCGCCATCAAAGAGAAAGCTTACCATCGATACGATATTCTGATTCATTTTGGTACATTCCTTAGTTTTCTGTGTATTTAAGTAGATGAACATGATGTGATGTCAATTCTTTTGTTGACCTCTCTCTCTCTCTCACCTGAAAACTTCCAAATGAAATTTGAAGAGTTAAGAGATGAAAATGGCTCCTGAGATTTAATTTAACCACACATCTTTCTTGGCTATTATGCAAGCTTCTATAAGAATCTGTCTAGAATGCAATTGTTTTAACTATAATTTTTATTTCACTGTAAGAAAAGTTATGGTTGAACAAGTAGAAAGTTGCCAAGAATCCGTTTCTCATTTCTTATTTTCAATTTTAATGTATTAAAAATTCTTAATTTAGTCATCCCATAAAAGAATTTATACTATAAGGTATATAAAAAGGTACGGATAAATTTTATCTACCCATTTTACCTTTTAATTTTAATCATTTTCTCTATTACTTTCAACTCAATTTCGTCATTCATCTCTCTCAAGATCTCTTCAAATTCCACCAATTCTCCCTTCTCCTTGTCCCCATACCACCTTTTTAATTTTCAAGTATTTTCTTCCTAACTTTACAAATTTCACTTTTTTCGAATAATTTTTTCTCTCTAAGAAACTTCATTTATCTCTCTTAATCATTTCATATTTTTTTTCTCATTTACTTTTCGACTATTTTTTCTCTACCCATCTAAATTCCTTACTCAAATTATCATTTATTTAAAATTTGTAAAGGTTAGATAGTATTTAGAGAAAGAGAAAATTAGAGGTGTGGGGATCAGGAGGGAGAAATTTGTAAAGATTAAGGAGGGAAAAATAGTAGTTAAAAAGATAGATAAAATTAGAGGAATGAAGAAAGTGGGATTTGTATTTGAAGGATAAAATTCATCTTTTTAAGATAATAGTAATAAAATGATAAATTTCATGTGCATTCAAGGGGTTGCTCACTAGTTATATTAAAAATTGTTAATAAAAAGATGATGTATCATTAAATTATTGTTTTCTTGATATATTTGAACATGTGTGCATGCTATTTGGACACACCACTTAAAAGAAATAGACTTTATTGATGAGCGGGTTGAATTTTGTTGAAGTGTAGGTTAGGTTTCACGGGTCAAGTAGAATCTAAATAATGTTTTTCAGTATCCAAATATATTAATAAAACAATAATTATTTATCAAACAATTTTTTTTTAGTACAACATGGCTTACCTAGGCTTGTTTTGCAACCATTTTTTTGCTAAAAAGAGAGATAAAATTAAGAATTAAGAATTAAGATAATGACCAAATTAATAATTACCAAAAAGATGAGAGACATGTTGTATATTTAGTCCTTTCAAAAAAGAAAAATGTTGTATTTTTAGCTATTTTAATCAATTGAATTAAGATACCAAACTAATTATTAAACTAATACCAATCAAAGTTCAAATGGTTAAGACATATTTGGACCAAAAGAACGGAAATTCGAATATCTACTCCATATGTTGTTGAATTAAAAAAAAAAAAAACTTCAAATGCAGTTTGGTTCCTGTACTTTCAAATTTTGTTCGTTTTAGCCTTTATAGTTTCAAAACGTCTATTTTGATTCCTATACTTTTAAAATACGACAATCTTAACGATTCCTATTTACAAAATTTTAACATAAATTTTTATACACAATAAAAAATTCTTTAATATAGATTTATAGCTACATCTCAAAAAAAAAATTTGTGAATGAAATGTCATGAAAATTGTGATCCGAAGTGAAACTGGAAAGAGTAACTTTTTAAAACTATGACAAAAAAAAATAAAAAAAAAATGAAATAAACTAAAACCAAAATAGTATTTAGACGGAAAAAATATATATATATTAAAGTAAAAACAAGAAGAAATGGCACTTATTTGGTACGGACATTGAAATTGATTAGATAAGACGATTTATGGTAAACGCCTTATCCTTTTTATCCAATTGCGATTGCCATTCCCCTTTCTCCTGTCTTCTTCCACAGCATATCTGATCAGATCAAACAATTTGGGGGAGATGATAAGACGATCTACACTACTCTGAGCTTTTGAATTTCTGCTGTACAACAACCATGTCGTGCATCCACAACAGCCCATTACCTTGTTTCTCTGCTTCCTCTTCTTCTTTCCCAAGACGCCATCGATTCGCTTCTTTTAAACCTCGAATTCGTTGTGCTCTTGGAGGTATGGCTCTTTTTCCGATTTGGGTTTTGAAGTTTGAATGATTTGCTTCCGAGAAATCACGATAATTTTGTGGTGGGTTCGTATTTGTTGATAATTTCTCTGTGGGGAACCGAAGGTTGTTGAATTTCTCTAATTTGGATTGTTTCCGTCGGAGTTTGGGTTCTGATTTAGGGAACTGCCGTTGACTTTGATGATATTTTCTTGTAATTGAAGGGGATTTGAGTTATATATGTTGCTTTGCTGCATCTTCCAGCTAGTTTGTTCTCCAATGAAATCACTACAGAATTGAAGTCAATTTTCTGACTTATATGAAATTATGCATCTTATTCTGTTAAATCATCGTATCTAGATTAATCTGTAAGTTATGGTAAATGTATATTCTTAACAACGTTGTATAACATATGCTACTATCATTGGAAAGAGCATTTCTGGTTGGGAAAAAATGAGAGTTATTTTCAGGGTTCATGAGAGTAAGAATTGTAATGCGAGATAATCATATCCAGGAACTGTAGCAGAGCCAAAACCCACCATTTCTACAGAACCATTGTTGCTTAATGCTGTTCGTGGAGAAGATGTGGAGAGACCCCCAGTTTGGTTGATGAGGCAAGCGGGGAGGTACATGAAGGCAGGTTTATGCGGCTATAGATTTCCATGACCTGTCTTTTCTTTTTTTCAAACATTTTCACGAGATTTTCTCTTTAAATAGCTCAAGCAAATTAGATCTAAAATTTTTATGTTATGGATGATTATCCTTGTTATATTGTGATGGTCAATTTTCCCAATCAAAATGGTTGTATTACCTTTTACATCCTTTTACTAGAAGCGACTTAATCTTTTGCACTCTGTTAATGACTTGGTGGGATTTAGAGCCAGCTCAGTTACAGTACCCATAGAGTGGTCCTAGGATTTATTACATTAGTTCATCCAAAGTTCCTTACCTGTTTCTACTTAGCCTCCTCGTGATGTTGTACCTAGTCATTTTAATCAGATCTCCATTATCCAATTCAAGTACAGCTTAGTAGATAAGGTACATTACCTTCTCTAAGGTTGAAGGTCTGACCCCTACCCCCACATTTGTTAAGTCAGATCTTGATTTTGGTATAACGAGGAGTCAAGTCTCGTGGATCACGATTTTGATGTGCTGTTCATGTTACTCTTGGCATGCCCTAGGATGCTGATTGATGTAGATTTGAACAGAAAAGACGAATTGATACTTTGCTAAGATAACCACTAATAAAAATTGCCAAAGGAAAATGAAATTCTGTCATTTATGAGATTTGATTGATTTTGAGTTTGAATAGATTATTTTGTATGAATTATTGTTCTCTTTGAAATTTGAAACTTCTGTTAAACTTGGATCTCATATTATACGTCTGTTGCAACAGAGTTACCAAATCATTTGTGAAAAATACCCTTCATTTCGTCAAAGGTCAGAAAATACAGATCTTGTTGTGGAAATTTCTCTACAGCCATGGAATGTCTTTAAGCCTGATGGGGTGAGCTATCATATCAATAAAGCACTTATTGTTCTAACATTTATATCTATGAGTTAGTCCTTTTATTTTGACTTGTTTGTTACCCTTATCAGATTTCTTTTGTGTTAATGGCTGCCACAGGTGATCTTATTCTCAGACATCCTAACTCCACTTTCTGGGATGAATATTCCCTTCGACATTGTCAAGGGCAAGGGCCCAATTATCGCCAATCCTATAAGTGAGGCTGCTCACGTTGACCAAGTGAGGGAATTTGTCCCTGAAGAGAATGTTCCATATGTTGGGGAAGCTTTGACGATCCTGCGAAAAGAGGTTTTAGATGTCATGTATTGTTTTTCAGTCTATATTACATTTGATTTAATGTCTTAGCTTTTTAACTTTTGGTATATTTATCGTGTATTTTCCTTTCCAGGTTGACAACAAAGCAGCTGTTCTAGGTTTCGTCGGGGCTCCTTTCACCCTCGCATCGTATGTCGTCGAAGGTGGTTCATCAAAGCACTTTTCAAAAATAAAAAGGCTTGCTTTCTCTCAGCCCAAGGTAATTTTGGTTTAGTTCCGTGCAGTGTCTTTCTGACAAACTATTGCTTGTTATTCTCAAAATATTGTTAGTTAATGTAATTCCATGCCATCTGTGCCACACGATTACTTGGGGTTGATTGTAAAACTATCTTCATGTCGAATTAGACACTACCAGATATTTGTAAACTTACCTCCATATCTAACTATACATCACAAGATAAGGTATCTTTCCTCTTCAGTTGTTCAATCTTCATCTAACTTGCATTGCACCCCGTCATCTCCCGCAGGTTCTTCATGCATTGCTCCAGAAGTTTACCAGCTCAATGGCGAGGTACATTCAATACCAAGCAGATAGAGGAGCACAAGCGGTTCAAATCTTCGATTCATGGGCCACCGAGCTCAGCCCCGTGGACTTTGAAGAATTCAGTCTTCCATACTTGAAGCAGATTGTTGAGTCCGTGAAGAAAACACATCCAGACCTCCCACTGATTCTTTATGCCAGTGGATCTGGTGGCCTACTTGAAAGGCTAGCTTCAACCGGTGTCGACGTCGTTAGCTTAGACTGGACGGTAGATATGGCTGAAGGTAGGAGGCGATTAGGAGCAGACGTAGCAGTTCAGGGCAACGTCGACCCCGGCGTTCTCTTCGGTTCAAAGGAGTTTATCACCAACAGGATTAACGATACTGTGAGGAAAGCAGGTAAAGGGAAGCACATTTTGAATCTAGGCCATGGTATTGTTGTTGGTACACCTGAGGAAAATGTAGCTCATTTCTTTGAGGTTGCTAAAGGAATTAGATACTAGTGGATTGCTGAGAATGATTGATTATGTTTAGGTGAATTTTTGTAGTGTTGTAAACTTAATCTTCACTGTGTGGGTCTCAGAAGAGCATTTTTAGTGATAATATTATTTTAGTTCTTGATTAAACTTGGTAGTACTAGCTTGCATTGTATCAGATTATTAGTTCCGTCTTTTTTTTAATTTTGCCACAAAGGAGAATGAGAGGGTAGTAAAACTTGAATTTGGGTTAGGCGATGATTTAGGAAAAATGAAAATTAAATATTAAAAGTATGATTTTTGCATGGTCTCCGATTGAGTGGGTATAAAGTTTTAAATGTCGATGTTGATAGGTATTTCTGTAAAAGTTAGAGAAATATTTTTTTTTAGTACAACACGTGGGTGGGGATCGAATTCGCAATCTCTTAGTCGGAGATATATGCCAATTACTATTGAGTTATTAGTGATATTTTTTTGTAATACGATGTAAATGCCGATTTAGGTAGGTGGTAAGTTTGAATTCATTCTCTCTTATTAATTCACCTTAATCCATTCAGACCAATGAGCCATCCAATATTTTTGCAATCTATAAAGATTTAATTAAATGTACAACACCTTTGTAACTCTGTGGCAGGTTAAGAGTGATCAAATTAAAAATTAGAGCCTGTAAATATATATTTTTTTTCTTTTATGAGTTGAACAATGGGATGAACTCAACTTTACTCGGTATTGCATCGACATCCCTTGTTAGGTAGTTAGCCAAATTTTGCCATGGATAGCTGGAATCGTCTCCTGGAAGTAATTTTCACGTGCAAGGTCGGTGGATTTGCTTCTAAAAGCTAAACCCCCAAATTCAACCCACCCAATTTCATCGAAAATGGCAACTTCAAGTTTTCCCCCTTCTTTTTCATCCCTCTCCGTAATTCTTCCCCTTCAGAATCATACACCCAACAAATTTTTATCATTCCCTTCGAAGCTTTCGAAACCCCACTTGCAATTCCACAGAATCTGCTGCGGAATGCCTGAGACTGGGGTTCGGCAAAACCCCACAAGCGGCGGAGCTTCCACTTCCAGGAACAGCACGGAGATGTACAATATGACTATGAAGAAGATGATGAAGAACCCTTATGAGTATCACCATGAACTGGGTCAGTTTCTTCTTTTCTTCATCCTGTTTTTCGATTTTTCCTTTTGATCCTTGAATTCTGTAATTCACGGCCAGCCATTTTATATGCTTCGATCGCTTTCCTTCTGCAATTTGTTAATGGGTGATTTTGGAGCATTTGTGTTGTTTGGAATGAGAAGTAATTGGGCGATAGGATTGATATTGGGACTTTAGAAGTTCATGAATAGAAGTTTTTTTTTTTTTTTTTTTTTCTGTTTCCTAGATATTGAGCCTTCTCTGTGGATTTCTAATGATTTATGATAGCTTTTCGCAAAGTTACCCAATGTTAATGGTGCTTTGAGTAATTAGAGGGCAAAGACATTTTGTAACCTCTTTGAGTTCTTTGAGAAGTCCATAAAATTGTGGGCTCTCTCTTTGAGTTTCAGTTTACTAGATTTGATTTTAGGAGCAGTTTTACTGGTTACTTAGGTTCTGTTTGGTTCATGATTCAAATAGAAGGGATTAAATAGATAAGAGAGAAGAAGCTATTAGAGAGAGAGACTCTGCTTTTGAGAAAATACAGGGTTCTACTTTTCAGGAAATCTCTTTCTGTATTCATTTGAAAACAAAGAGAACATTGAAAGAATGATTTCAAAAGTTGGCTTAAATGGGTAATTGTCTTTGAAAATCATTTTCGAAAACACAAGTACCAAATGCAATTCAGTGTATCCTTGGCATCCCTTGTTTTCAAACACGTAAAAGGATAGCGGGTTTGATACCAAATCGGTATGAAGTAACTTTTCCAGTTAGAATTCTGATAGACAAAACTTGAAGTAATATCAGTTTGCTCATAATGCTCCTGCAATCAGGTATGAACTATACTGTGATAGCTGACAATTTGATTGTCGGTTCCCAGCCTCAAAAACCCAAAGATATCGATTTCTTGAAGGAGGAAGAAGGTGTTGCCTATATTCTGAATTTACAGCAGGACAAGGATGTTGAGTATTGGGGAGTCGACTTACGATCAATTATAGAAAGATGTAAAGAACTTGGAATTCATCATATGAGGAAACCGGTAAGCACATATACTTTTCATACCCTGTGTCTTAAATCTCTGGTAGACCCATTTTCAAATATATACTGATTTCTCTCCCTTTTTAATCTTGAACTGCTGGAAACTGATTTCTAACTGTTCTATGTTGTATGTACTTTCATCAAATGGAAATATGAAATCTGGGTATGGGAAAAGCTTTTTCTTAAGCAGGAAATGTTCTTCACTCAAGTTTATTTTCAGCTTATCTGTGCATTAAGAAAGTAAATTAAAAAAAGGAAAGCATGGTTTCTCATAAAGATAATAATAATAAATAAAAGTTTATATACTATTTTGGTTGCTATACTTTTAGCTCTTGTTTATTTTGATCCATGTAATTTCAAAACATAGATCTTGGTCCATGTACTTTCATATTTTATTATTTTATCCATCTTAGTCCTTATACTTTCTGAATGTCTACTTTTAAAAAATGATTGTTTTGGTCCATTCATTTTCCTTTTTGTCTCATTTTTTTCCTATCACAATTTCAACGTGACGATATACTCAATAAATTTCTTGCAATGTACTCATAACTTTGTATTAAAGGGTTTTAATTTGTGTTAAAATGTTGCAAACAAAGACCAAAGTAGTCACTTTTTTTCTCACAAAAAAAAGTAGCGACATTTTAAAAGTACAAGGCTAAATTGGATGTTTTGAGTGTAAAAAACTAAAATGAACCAAAGTTGAACGTATAGGACCCAAATGAACATTTTTAAAGTATAAGGACTTGAATGAACTGAGCATGAATTTCCAGGGACTAAAATAGTATTTAAACTACAAATAAATAAATAATTAATTAAATAAATTTAGCGTAACTCATTTGCTTAAGTTTTTGGGTTCAAGGGTGATTTAACATATTATTATAGTAGTCTAGTATGAGGTCCTTTATTCGAATTTCAATAATATAATTTTCTTCTTATTTAATATTGATAATAACTCGTGGAGTATTTTAGAGTTTGAAATTAGCTTAAGCTTTTGGATTCAACGATTATTTAGCACTACGAAACAAACGAAACAAGTGAGAGACTAGTATCTCTTGTAGCAACTTGCACTAACGTCGTGAATTTGTCTGCTCTGTTTGTTTTTGGTGGCACGTCGGGTTAACCCATTCTTTTGTAGGCAAGAGATTTTGATCCAGATTCCATGAGAAATGGATTACCTAAAGCTGTTTCCTTGCTAGAATGGGCGATCTCGGAGGGTAAAGGAAAAGTTTATGTCCATTGCACCGCTGGACTAGGAAGGGCTCCTGCCGTTGCAATAGCTTACTTGTTCTGGTTTTGTGGAATGAATGTGAGTTCTTCTTTTACTTAGAAATTAATGCAGTACATTAATAATGCCTGCTCTTGACATGTTTTGAAGCTGGAAAGTGTAAAATATGACAGTAGATATCAATGTTGACATTTTCTGATTTACACAGACTTTTTTACTCCTCAAAATAAAACTACCAAGTTATTGGTTTCTTATTTTGGCTATGTGACAGTTAAATACCGCATATGAAGCACTGACCTCGAAGCGACCTTGTGGACCGAGTAAAAGAGCGATTCGTGGAGCCACATACGATCTATGTAAAACAGATCAATGGAAGGAGCCATTCGAGAGCCTTCCCGACAATGCATTTGAAGGTGTTGCAGATTGGGAGAGAAACTTGATTCAGGATCGGGTCCGCTCTCTCCGCAAAACTTGAGTAATTGTGCATCGTTTTCCCTTTGCTTACTTGGTCCTGAAACTTCCTAGTTTGAGTTGAAATTTTATAAGGTCTTCTAGGGGCAATTTGGTTTAAGGTTTCGAGAAATATCCATCGGTCAAGGAATAAGATGTTTGGGAATCAAAGATAACTGTTTTTGGTTAGGTAAGGAAATACCACCAGATTTTCCTAAAAAATAATTATAGGTGTTTATTATAATAATTATTATTATTTAAATATCCGAGTTTATTTTGTGTTATTGCTCTAGAAAATATGATTTTTCTAAAAAATAATTATAGGTGTTTATTATAATTATTATTATTATTTAAATATCCGAGTTTATTTTGTGTTATTGCTCTAGAAAATATGAATTTTATGTCACCATAGTGATGGATAACTAATCAAATTTAATTCAAATAAATAATATAAATAAAATTATTTAAAGTTATTAGTTATTTTATATTGACATTCTAAAATATTATTTTATGTTAGTTATGTCTAATTATTGAATTATTTCTATATAATTCAATTTGATTCTATTCAACTCAACCTAATTGATTCCTACTTTTCATTTAATTTTTATTAATTAGTAAAAATTAATTTACATCAATTAAGTTTAATTAGTAAATTGATTGTAGAGTGATTTAAGTTATTTTAGTTAAATAATTTAAAATCAATTTAGTAAATTGATTTTTTTAGCAATCCATTTTAATGGATTAATTTATATCAAATATATTTAATTAATTAAGTATAAATCATATAAATTTGAAATTTTAGTTATATTGAGCAATTAAGCACCACAATTAATAGTAAATGTTTTTCATTTTTTAGTATGACGTGGGGTGAAAAGTCAAGCTTATGACTTTTTGGTCGTAGATAGCTACTTTAATCTGATGAGTTATATTCAAGCCAACATTAATAAATATTAGTTAATTAAAATTCAACCTATTTTATAATTAATTAGTTCAAATTTTATTATTAAAAAAACTCGTTTAGAGTTTTATTGGAAGGTTAAAATATATATATTAAAATATTTGTAGTTTTCAAATTGGTTAAAAAACACATTTGGTCTCAGTACTTTCATTAAAGTAACGATTTAGTCTCTGAACTTTTAATTGTAACGATTTAGTTCCTACAGTTAAAAATTTGTAACAATTTACTCCCTACTATGAAAATTCTCATCAAAATTAAGCGTCAATTTTTATCATATTATGATTTAATTTTTGTAATTTATAAACTAATTCGATCCTTAATCGGTTTATCAATCTAAATATATAAAAAATTTAACCAAAAAAATTTACAATGGAGATTAAATTATTACAAATTTTAAACTTTAGAAATTAAATTGTTATATTTTAAATTTTATGGACTAAATTGTTACCAATTTGAAAGTATAGGGATTAAATCATTATTTTTTAAAGTTTATGAACTAAATCATTACTTCAACTAAAATACGAGGACCAAAAGTGTTATTTAACCTATTTAAATCTATTAAACTAGTATAAGAAAAAATATATATAATAAATTAAACTTTTGGACATTTGACAAACTCACGACAATAGAATGGTAAAGAAAATCCTTGATATCTTGAAATAAGTTTTTATCAAGTAAAAGTGTTCAAAATTATGTATCAAATTTGGGTTTAACTTGCCTATTGTCGCCTAACAAAATTTCTAATCAAATGGTTTAAACTTTCTTTTTATTTGTTGCAGCTCTATTTGGACTATCATGATTTCGACCTGGAATTGGTCGAGGAAATCAAAATAGGTAGTTGTTCGTGGTAAAACATGAAGGTTCGATAATGTTCGGTATTACTAGGATGATGGATTGGACAACAAATGTAGCAATAAGGTGACACAATTTGCTATATTGCATAAATGTCAATCTGTATAGAACACTAAAATGATTCAAAGTAATATATAGTGGTGTTAATGGTACTTTTGGATCAAACCTAATCGTGAATTGTATATTTATTCAATCCAAACCATCTTTATTAAATATTAAATTCAACTCAATCCAATCATGAAATATTTAGGTTGAGTTGGTTGAATTGTTCGTATCACTTATTCAAAGTATCGTTTAACAAAAAAAATGATAATATCTAAAACATTTATTTTTATATTATCTAACATTATGATAGATTTTGAAAATGGATAAAAGTGTAAAAAATCAAAATAGATGTTTTGAAAGTATATAAATTAAAATAAACAAAATTGAAAGTACAATCACGAAAATGGACATTCAGTAAGTATAGAAATGCTGAAAGAAACAATAAACACAGGAGAACTTAAACCTAGTTTAAATTAACTATATTTGTAAGTGTAATTTAACAGGGAGATGATCAGGTGAACAGAGAAAGTGAGATGGTCAGGCCAGTGTTATACAATGGCCTATATTTCTATGTAATGGATTGCTTCATTAATAAATCTTACAAAACATCTAAAGCTTAACAAAGAAAACTTATATTTGATAAAAAAAATTAAGTCAATGCAGCTATTACATGGAGGGAGATGAACTAGACGCCTTAACTGAAAGATAATTACCTCCAACAATTCTTCAAGTCATTGCTTATAATACCTTCGATGTCGCTTATTACCTACAGTGCGAGCGACGTTTAAAGTTGAAGCCATTGACATCCCACAATTGCGTATATGAATGTATCGTATCGACAAATGGTTACCATCTATGATGGTACTGGCAACAACGGTAAGATCCTTCAAAATGTCGTTGTGACAATCTGTCGAGCCTATGTCTGCAACTATTATAGATCAGTATAGTTATCTAGATAAATATTACGACATGGAGAGCATTTGGAGCTGTGCGAGGTGAGATTGGCGACGGCCTAAATAGAATGCAGTGACAATCCACAGCAAACATATCTGGGATAGTATCGAAAGGAGAGTTATACATCGAATCATAACGAATGATCAGTATAAACAACGCATCTTAAAACCGAAAAACTAGTAATACCATGAAGAGAACTAAGAAAGAGAGAAAACAATCATACATACCGGTAGAGCATAGAGCGAAATAGTAGAAGTTTTCCCATGAAGAGTGCTGAGGAGTAATTTGTACATTCCTGCTGCCGTAGCATCCCCTAGTCTTTGGACAAACACATCAATACATATCTGCAGTTTCAACATTTGTATTAAAGACAGATTAAGGTGATTTCGGTAAATAGACGGGAAGGGAGAAGGACTTGAAAACTGCAAAACCAAACCGGACCACAAACCAACCAAACTGCAAAACTGGTTCAGTTCAGCTCGGTTTTGTCAGTGTCCTTGTGCACCAATAGGGTTGAAGATAAAGGCTTAGAAGATCATGCGATATATGAAATTAAAGCAAGTAATCAAAAGTTTAAAAAAAATATATTTTTGAAATAAGAACATTATAAAATGCAAACCTTGGCTTTGTACTTCTCATCTTGCGAGACAACGGTAAACAGGAGTTCTCTTCCGGGCCTGGTTACAACATAAGTAGTAACCTGGCAAGTAAATTGAATCAGAATCAAACTAAACGAATCCCAATTAAGGCATCGGATAGGAAAGGTCAATATACATTACGATTGAAATAGAATATAACCACAACTTTTTTGTCAAAAGAACTCAAGGCAAAAAGCGTAAAAGGTTATGACGCGGACCTTGCGCAAGGTCTCACAAACAGCAATGGCTACCCATGTTGGCCAAACAGCAATTGCAACCAAATTTAAGAAAGCAACTGATGGTGCAGCACAGATAGCTATGGTGACACCAGCTATTGTAAGAATGTGACCCTGAATTTGATGAGGAAGAAAACAAACAAAAACATGATAAAGATATATATGTATATATATAAATCCTATTTTAATCCCTGAAATTTCATACTTATTTCACTCCCATTCCTAAACTTTCAAAGGTTTCAATTTTAGAACCCAAAACTATTGTAGTCCTTATCCTTAATTTTCCACTATCCATTTAACAAAAACTTAAATCTGTTTGAAACACTTATCATCCGTATGGACATCTATTAGTCATGTAAAAGAACAAAAGATGCGTTTATGTTACATTGATATTAAAAGACTAATGATAATGACTAAAATAATTTTTTATGCAAAGTTCAATGACTAAATGAGAATGTTCCAAACTCTAGGATCAAAATAAAATAAACTTCCAAGATCAGAATAGGATTTATATTTATATTTAAGCCTAAAAAACATTTGAATCTAAATAGCTGAATTTGCTGAATTTTGATAGTCATGTGTTATTGTACAGATCTAAAGAAAGCATACCGTCACAGTAAGCTGTCCAGCGAGGATAAAAACAGCAATAAAGCTATTTATCAGAGCAAACAATTTTCTTCGGCCAAGAGAGCTAGTGACTGTGATGGCAATTATACTCACTTTCTGCACACAAAATTTAGGTATGTAGTAGGTCATTTCACTTTAACGAGATTCACAAACATTTTCTTCACATGGATGATAAACAAAAGGTGTGTATGGAATTTAGTAAGAAAAACAGTTGAAGCATTTTCCTTCATGCACAATAAGAAGAGTATCATATGTAAAACTGCAGATACAAATTGCCTTCTTGACCATGCTTATAGCATAAACAGAGATGATGTTAAAGAGAAAGTCATAAACGCAATTCATGGGAAAAATAATCTTACCTGCAAGTAGAAGAAGGATGAGATTACTGCACTCAACCATAGGAACAATGCTACACCCGTCAAGTATGAGGATGACAAAATGAGCATCATTCCGTCGAAAATAGCCCAAGGGTGAGGATTAGAAGTTGATTTGGGAGAATGACCTTTTAAAGTTGATGTACCTTCATCGTCTTTCTCCTGACTGTGATCTGCATCCCTGCAATAAAATTAAGGGCGTCAATGAGAAATTGGCACTGTATCATTACATGAGGTCCACTAAGAGATAATTTCTAGGTTTAAGTCCTATTTTCGATCTAGTACTTCAGCTTTTATCCATTTTGGTCCCTGAAGTTTCCAGACATCTATTTTTGTCCACTTTTCAAAAGTGATCCTTTTGGTCCTTGTATTTTCTTTTCTGTCTCATTTTGGGTACCAAAATTTCAATGTAACACTATATTCAATCTTAAAATATTGTCATAGCTTTATAGTAAAGAGTTTTTATTGTGCACAAATTTTGTGCTTGAATTTTGCAAATAGGACCAAAACGATACTTTGCTGTATAGGAACTAAAATATACGTTTTAAAAATATAAGGACTAAAATGGACAAATGTTGAAGCTTGAAAGTAGAAGAACCAAATGGATGTTTTGAAAGTACATGGACCAAAATAGCTAAAAACTGAAAGTAAAGAGACCAAAAGAGTATTTGAACATATTTTTCATTAATGGATTCCATTAACATGAATTTTCAAAACAGGCAACCTGATGAGAGATAATTCTTCACCAAGGCGAGGCATATCCGGATTTATCCCTTCAGACAATCGTGCAGCGAATTCCATAAGCAAAGCAGCAAAGAGGAGCAAATCTGTCATGACCAACCTATGTTAGTGACCTATGAAAGAATAGAAAGATTGCATTTCCAAAAAATAAAGAGGAGGGAGACATACAGGGCCCCAACCAAGCCATTGCTGTGGCAAATAGGGAACCGAAAAGCTGTCCGAGTGTGGCTCCAGCACCTATGAACCCAAATAATCTTGAACCTGACTGGAGAAAGAAAAACAAAAGTAAATGTGAGCCAAAAATCTTCAAGCACCATCCATAATTCCATATACAGTGCGGCTGAAGTGAAGGTATACCTCACTATCCATGACATCAATAATTCTAGCCCAAGTTGATGAAATTGTTATTAGATTAAGTAAAGCAACCTTCAAAAGAAGCAAAGTATTACTTTCACCAATTAAGTTCAGGACTGATCCAACCCTTCTCTGAAAGTGAAGGTAAACGAAAATTAATAAGAAGATTTAGTACCCAAAGGAAAAATCCAATTCTGACTGACACATAAAACCGCCCATATTTATCCCAACCTACAGAGGTAACAGAACTTGATTCATCACTGTAGTCCTTTTGGTCCTCTTTTGCGGTAGAGAACATGGTAAAAAAGCCCTAAAAATAAACAACCAAAATAAAGTTAGAATAAGAAATTAGAATATTAATGATAAACATAGAAGGTTAACTATATCATAATCTATCCGCTTAACCTTTTAGACTTAGATTTACGTTCAGTGGTGATTATGCTATGGAATCCTGTATTCAAACTCCTACAACATCATTTCGTCTCTCCTTAAAGAATTCACGTATTTGTAACCTATCAGCATTTCTTATGTATTCGTAACCTATCAACTTAAGCTAGTTTAACACAAGAATCCAACTAAATGCAGCAAGAAAGAACTTGATACCACAAATTATTTGCCAGATTGTCATATTACCTTCGAGAACCCAGTGGATGAAGATTGCCATAGAATGAAAAATACAACGAGTGATGCACTAAAAAACCTGTGTATCAAAACCAAAGCCTGGAATTTCAAGGATCAATTATTTACAGGACTACAAAAAACGACTAAAACAAAACGGGAAAGCATGACATTGAGAAAAGTACCTTGCCTTTGGAAAGATTAGGCAAAGAGAAAATGTGAGAGGAAACAGGTGCAGCAATCAGAGTGAGTACCAAAGACCCCACAAAAAGGCTCGGCAGATTCATTAAGCCCAGAGAAATCGCACCCTCATCGCGCAACGGAAGCACCACAAAATAGGCACTCAAAATCTAAGACGGAGAAACCAAAATAAACTTGCAGAAAATGATCGATCAGAACAGAAAAAGAGAACAATGGATGATTTCTTAAGCTTACGAAGAAGAAGCAGAATGCAGAGTGGAGCAGAGCGGAGATCTCATGAGGGTGCACGGTAACGATTGCAGAGACAATTGGATCCAGACGAGACTTGCTGATTATGCTCATCATTTTCGTAATCCCCTCTTCAGAATATAGATTTGACTGTCAACGGTCAACGATTGAGAAACAAGAATTCATCCCTTCCCCGCCAGTTCATCTACTGCCCTCGAAATTCAAAATTGTCAAGAATAAGAACCCACCCACGATCAATGAATGTACAAAGATTCAAGAATTCAAAACCCTATATGAAAGAGTATGTTCCAATTTAAGGATTTAAGCACATGGTAATGGAGTCGAATCCACCATAGAAGTGGAGAACGAGAAAGGAAGAGCGATTGCAGTTGAAGCCAGAAGAAAACGAATTTTTCGAGAACAGAAATTTAGGCAGCGATCTCCATTGATAGATGGATGAGAGATGGATGGATTCCACCCCCAAGGTTGTGGAAGTGGGGATTTGCTGAAGAGAATGTCTATGGAGAAATGGGTTGCAGAGAGCAGAAGAAAAATAAATAATAAATAATTTAAAATTACAGTTCTATTTCTATATCCCTATTCGCTTCTATTTTTACTTTTAAAATAGTTTTATTTATATTCTATTCTTAAATCTTTCTTTTCCATTAATTCTATTCTTAGATCTTAAATGTAAAAGAAAGTGTGATTCATCGTAAAATATTGGTAAAAGTGTAAGTTTTAGTTCTTGAATTCTCAAAGTTTTTGTTTGATAAGTATATTAATCCTTTCTTGTTTTTCATCTTTTTATATCTTATTTTCATTTTCAATTTGTTATAAAACATAAATAAAAAGATTGTTTTATAGTATTTAAATTCATGAATGTTGGACATCCAATTCATTTTTCTTTATAAAAAATGAAGAAATATGAAACAAGAACATTACCGAACAAGTTCTAAACTTTCAATTTTTGTCTAATGAAGTTAGGCTTTAAAAGTGTTTAATAGGTACCAAACTTTCAATTTTGTGTAGGTTATTGACTTATTTGAAGTTCTTTGAATTAATGAATTATTAAACAAAATTGAAAAATATTATGAGTTCGAAACCCACCTGTATTTAAAGGAAAAAAAAAACTAAATTTTGTATACAACAAGACTTTCAACTTTCAATCATGTGTCCAAAGTCTATAAATCTCAAAAAAAAAAAAAGTTAAAAGCTCACGGACCATAGAACCGTAGAATAATTTGTACAATTTGTACGACCATCAAACAAATTTTGTTTTAAGTTACCATTGTGTCATGGTAAGTTGTAGTAAATTGAAAAAGAGAGTATGTTTGTGATATATCGTTCTAAAAAGGGAAGTGTCAAAAGTATAAGAAAACCACAAATGTGAAATGGTCAAAAAATATTGGAACTTGGTTGTAAAATTTCTTATTCATCCATACTTTGTCTATAGATTACATGTTAATTACACCAACATAAGCGAAACTCGGCAAAAAAATAACGTCTACTCCTTCCTTTCGAGGTCAAATGTTTAAATCCCCATATTCTCACGCTTTTTGTACCAAAAAAAGATTACAAATTAACTACAAAATACAGATTTCTATTACCTAGAGACAGATCAAAAATGAATATTTATAAAAATTTATTTTAAAAAAATTGGGATCAAATCAAAACATTTTAAAAAATTACAAGGGATTATAACTATGATTGAAACCTCGATTGAATTACAGTGGAAACCAGATCAATCCTAATAAATAAGTGCAAAAACCTTTTTACTTGATTTGCCAACAGCAGGCTATGTCTTGAGACATAGCTGGTGATGTCTTAATTTACAAATTAAGAATCTGAGTCTGATTCTGCATCCGATTGTAATACAAATGGTTTAGCTCTGTTCGTGTTGGCTTCTAGAGGGGGAAGATCGTCATCTTCACTCGAGTTGACCTCATCCTGTTCTTGTTGATCATTCTTTACTTGCAGATTTTCATTCCGATCACCCACAATCGCATTTTTGAAGACTTCTGGCCTACAATAGATTGGTAGAAAATAGGGGTGCGAGCAAATCAGTTAAGTCCGACGTCAAGTTGATCTATTGGTTTAAGAAAAATAAAATGAATGTGCGCAAGACAAAATTTTTTAGACGGTATCAACCGTCATACTAACTGAAAATTTATCCAACCCAAACCAACATACTCTTTTTCTTTTAGTTACATACTTCAGGAAACCAGACCAACAGACGGAGATAGTTCAAATCGATCAAACTAATCGTTTTTTTCAGTTTCGGCTTGCACCCATAGTAGTAAAAAGCATTGGCATATGGGAACAGACAAGTACTTGGAGTAGAGATATCAGCAAGCTATCTTTGCAATGGAAATAAAAGGTGTTGCATATAAATTTGGTTGTATATCTTCATCAAATTTCAATGATATTAATTTACCATCTGGTTCACTTTTTCACCAGCAGTTCCAAACATTTAACTTGAAAAAAAAATTATTTTGACGCTTCTGAATATTTGTGAAGAAATATCAGTTTTATCATAAGGGACAGCTCATATTTGAGGGAAAAAATGAATCTAGCTTAAAGTAAGAGAACTAGCATAAATTTACTAAATGAATAGATAGAAATTTGATATAACATACCATTCTGGCCATTTCTGAAGCTCGCGAACTTGTTCAAAATACAGAACTCTAGAGACAATACATGCCACCTTGCTTCCAGATTCAAGAGCATTCTTCTTTCCACTTTCATCAACTACCACAAAACTCCCTGTAATGACACGCCAGAGCAAACAAAGCTTCTTTCAAATACTTATTTTCAATACTTTGGAAGCAATCAGGAACGTCATAATACAAAATTATCCAAAATAATATAAAAATATCTCTAAGATTCGTCGAATATTGTTGAAGCTACTAAAAAAACTAATGACCATAATCATTTGACACATGATGAATTTCAATAACATTAAAATAGCATAGTCTCCGGAAGTTGACAGAGAAGCTAAATTCTAGAAAACCTTGGCAAGAAAATCAGATAAATAGAATTGAACCTCTTATTTTTCAAGAAATTAAAAAGAAGGAACTTTAATGAGATGTTGACAAAAAGAGGTAGAATGGGGCAGAACAGACCTCGTTTTATCCACATACTCTTTTGAAACTTGGCAGGAAATAATGCCAGTGATTTCTCGCCTTGTGCATCCATCACCTAGAGAAGGAATGTAAGTTGTATAAAAATCTTTCCAAAAATAATGGGCAAGTAATAGCACAATAAATTGGAAGGCAAGAAAAGGAGGAAAGAGGGATTGGAAACTGCAGAGATCATGGTTTCCAAATCAATGCTAAAAGAATGATGTTAATTTCCCACGACAGCTTTAGATATGTATGATTTCAAATCCTAACTAGGGAACTTTATTTAAAAACTTGTGAGTGAGGACAAAGCATGACCTGAGTCTGGAATCCAAATCTTAGATCTGGGACGTTACAAAAACCTATGGAAAAAAATTCTAAGTAAACTTTGATCCAAGACACCTCTTTTTCCTCAATTTCTTCTAATCCCCTCATTCCTAGTTGGGTTGGAGGAAATTTGTGGTTTGGACTTACTTCATGCTAGTTGTTGTTAACTTGTAATCAAGCAATCCTTTTACTAAAGAGGGAAAAAGAAATAGAAAAAAAGACAAACAGAGGAGGGACTCCTCTGGTCTCCCATTCCCTTCCTCCCCAAGTTCAGAATTAGAATGGTAGAAATCAGAAGCCCTCAAATCCAATCCCCTGGGCATGACCTTTGTCTCTCCAAATTCAAAGGATTCCTATCCTAATACATTATATAATTGCTAGCAGGGGATTATACTTGTGATCTCATCCCGAAAACCCGAAAAAGATTATGTTTCACGCTCTTAGCTTCTTCTGTTTGGTTGGGTTTCTTCTGTGGTATGGTTCATCATCAGAAGCTCACACAAATGAAACCCACTTTAGATGTTTCACGGATGACCCAAAAAGAGGAAATCATTAACAATTCAGACCGATTTATTCAACACAATAGCAATCATTAAGATTAAAAAATCAAAACCTACGATTTCAAACTTTTTTAAAAAATAACAATCATTAACTACCATTAAAGAATATTTTCAGACCGATATATGCAACACAATAGGAGAAGTGCTGGATTGCAAAGTAAGGAAGTAACTTTGAAGAAGAGTAGGCAAAAATGTAGGAGCAACAGAGAACAGGAGCGAAGATGAAAGAGGAGGATACCTCGATTAGATTGGAACCACGGATAGAGACAACCTGCATGATGCCATGGCCATCTTCAAGGCTAATGATATGTTGCTCTGATGCCCTCTGCAAGTTCTTTCTTCCACCCTTCATGCGACTCAGTTTCAACTAGGGTTCTTCTGAAAAGGGATTGACATAAAGCCCTCAGATTTCGGTGGCAAGTGAAATAAATATAATAAATAAGAAAAGGAACAAAAATAAAATATCGAATATGTTTCTCAGAATCTAGAGTAAAAATTGCAATATTATTCAATTCTAGTGTGAAATTTTTTTTTTCAATAACGGGGAGTCAGGCGCTTTACCAGCGACACCCAAGCCTGGATACGGGAGACTTCAAGAAGAATTTTTTTGTATCAAGCTGACTAGAAGGTTCAAACTTCAATTTTTAGTGTAAATCTTAATCAACTCGAATTCAAAATTTTCTGAAAAAGGACAATTAGGATATAATTTCCTCTTGTTTTATTCTTTTTAAAACTCTCATAAAAAACAGAAGTTAAATCTAGAATCTTTTTATGCCTATTTTTCTCTAGATAATTTTAATTGTTTATTTTATCAAAAAAAAAAATTGTAAACAACAAGCACATAGCTGCTCTTATTTCAAAGTACAATTAGTAATTGATTAATGTGAGGAAGAGAACTTCAATTATCACAAAAGGCTTATCCTCCTCTTCACCAACGTAATCTTAATCTAAAAACTCATCAAAACCAACCATATTCTACAAATATAAATACGCTGAAGTTGTTTTGTCAATCAAAACAAGCCCTAATTTGAATCTAAAAGTCCTAATTTTAGATTTTCAAGAGAAGAAAGACATAGTTGGAGACTGGTAGAATACCCGTAACAATAGAGTAGACAATCAGCGGATAGCTACTAGAATTCGGCGGCGGCGGCGAAGGGGAGCCGGCGGTGGAGCACAAATGAGAGGAAGATGAAATCTGGGTACCTAGGGTTTCTCCTGCCTTAATTTAACGAAATGGGCCGAGCCTGAATTATTGGGCTACTGAGTTTTTGCTTTGGCCTTCTCTAATTTATATGATGTACTTTAAAATTAATTTAATGTAATTTATTAACAGTTAATTTTTAAAAACAATTAATAAATCTGGAGAACTATACAATTTTTAATTAGATATTTGGATTATTAAAAATATAAAAATACTTGGGTTTTGGAGTTTTAATGAGGAATTTTCCATATTATAATTGCAGCAGTTGAAATTGTATCTCAAAATTTTGATTCATCTCTTTATTTATTTTGTTCATTGTAATTTGTAACGAGGGAAAAATAGTGATTTTGTATTTTGACTTTTGAGAGGGTATTTGGAAGGATTGTGGCAGAATTGCACATTTTATTATTCATTTAGATTGACTCAAAGTTTCATTTTATTATTCATGGGTCTCGAAATGGTGCATTTTTATTTCGCTCTTTGTACAAAATGTTTCCATAATATTTGCAGGCATCAGTGTAAGCCGAGGACCAACTTAGGATAATAGGGCATCAATGCTTTTGATTTAGTTAATTTTAATTTTAAAAAACTCATTATGAAATGGTATTTACTCTCTTCAATTTCTCGTTACAAATTCTCTCTTTCTTGAAAAATTCAACTAACTTTCTCTCTCTTATTTACTCACCATACAAAAAAACCCTAAATATTTATTGTTATTTTCCTCCTTATCACTCCTAAGCCGCCTCTTCCCATTCCCATTCTTTTTTCTTCACCTTCTCTGGAAAAACAAGCAACAAGCCGCTCCATTTACGATTTTTTCTGATGAAAGACATACGTCGAGAGTCGAGAGCGGGAGCGAGAGGGCGAGAGCATTTTTTTGTCTGTTCTGTTTTTTTCTTTTTTATGTGGGAGGTTTATGTGAACTCTTTGTTCTTGGTGTTTTTTATTGAGTTTTTACCTCTCTATTAGGTGTGACCCATTCTTTTGTGCGTGTATTTGTTATTTTGTTTTTGAATTTTAAGCTCCAATAATGGATTCAACATTGGGAGGGGATGAATGAAAAATAAGGAAGAGAGACGATAGGGAAAAGTACATGCCTTCAAAATCAAAACAAAAAAATCCAAAATCAAAGGAAAACAAAAAATCGAATGGGATGTGGTATAGAAAGAAATGGAAGAAAGAGAGAGGGAGAGAGAGGAGTGCATGTCCTTGAAAAATTTGATAGTGAAAAAAAAAATCAAATCACTAAAGGGGAAAATGATCCGTAGAGAAATGGAAGAATGAATAAGAGAGAAGATAAGAAGGGATAATTTGTAATTTCATACAAAAGTAACGTAAGCAAATTGTTAGAAAACATAAAATTTGGAGTTAGTGATACATTTCATAGTTGGCTTTGAAAAAGGCTATTCAGTCCAATTTTCCAAGTTTATCCTTTGTTAAAAATTATTCTTATCACTTGCAAAGTTTCAATAACCTTTCATAAATGTTTTAAAAATAGTTTTTGACAAACATTCATTAATATTTTAAATCGAAAATTATATAAAACGATGTGATATTTAATGTGGAAGTTTGTTTGAAACAATTAGCTGACAGTACAAAAAAGAAATATTTATTTGTTGTAGGATTGGTTAATTCTTCCGAGTAAACCTTCCTGTTAATTGTTATATATTTATTCTAGATTCCGCCATGTCAATTTATGCCAAATTTTCATTCAAAAATTAATTGATATTTGCTCAAATGTATTTTTAAGATGTTATTTGTTCAAATATATTTTAAAAATGTTTATGAAATGTCAATTTTTCCAAACTGGCCTAAGTAGGTATAAGCCCAAGCAGAAGCATAAACATGAAAAATAAAGTAAAAACCGTGGGCAAGATTTCTCTAATTAAACAAAATATTTATTTACACATTGTACCACTAACTCAAAGGAAAAAAAACAAAAAAAGTATATAAATAATTGATTACTGTTGGGTAAATACGATGTATATATAAACTAAATAACACTGGTAAACAGATTACAATGTAACTGGCTAAAAACAATATAGTTATGACAATTTGATGAACACCAAACTTGATAAATATAGTCGAGGCACCCTTCAATAGCATTGACCTGAAAATAATTATTTGCTATGCACAAGTTGCTAGTAGTCTACAACGAATCGTCTCAACAAGATACAACGACTAACCCTAATAAAACAACAATCTCGAACTACTCAGATCTGACATAACTTTTAGATGTTTGCTCTCAACATAAATAAGAATAACAACTCAAAAGAAGAGAGAACTCTTGTGGGAGGAAAAGAATACCCAATTGTGGTATGCTTGGATATCTCAAAACGAACAAAACCACAACTATATATACTATATATAGTTGTCCAAACATGTAACCTCTCACACAAAATTAAAAACATTTGGTAACATTTTTACATATGTAACTTTAACCTATAAATATAAAAAGTTTCTCGCTTAAGAAATAACTTAAGTTTAACTTATGTATGATTTTAACCCATAGAGTTACAAATGTATAAGTTTGTAACTTTAATCAAATAAGAAACAAAACCACTGTTGTAAAAAAAATATTCACAATGTGTAATTTTCATTTTCTTTTACACTTTAATAATCCAACGAGTACGTCCCTCCGTTGGGCTACCACATTATTTCTTTACGTACAATTATAAATTTGGTGTTAATTTTAATATAAATAAAAAAAAATTTAATTGCTCTATCGTGGCCACCGCTGCGTAATTTCAAGTATATTCACACTATAATTTTTATCTTGAATTTCTTGAGATCTTTATAGTTATATTCATACTATAATTTCTATCTTTGACTTGAGATTTTTAATTATTTATTTTTTCGAAAAATTCAAATGCATTAAACACCAAATTAACAAAAATGGCGACGACAACACGAATGGAGGAAGATGTCAGCACTCTTTTCATCTCTTAGCCGATATTCTATAAAATCGACGATGAGGATAGAAACGATGGTGGCACCAATCATACGAAAGTACAATTACTAAAATAAATAAAAGTTGAAAGAAAAGATAAAGTATAGATACTAAAATAACTTAAACATACATTATATTATATTGTTCTAAGAATTTACTTTAATTTAGTGTTAGCTTCCTTGATCAACTATTTAACCTACTCTTTAATTGTCTAGTAGTTTTTGAACTTTTAATTTCAAGTTTTTAAAATTTAAATAACTATTAGACATAATAAAACTGTGACCTTTTGATTTTGTGTAAAAAATTTATGAATTTGATAAATGTCTATTAGGTCAAGAATATACAAAATTAAAAGTCACGAGACCTATTAAACACTTTTTAAGAGATACAACCTTAAAATTCAAGAATTAAACTTTATAATTTCGTATCCTGAAAGATTAAATTTAAAAGAAGTTCTAATCATATTATAAAACTTTTCATTTTTGTTATTTATATATTGATAAATATGCTCATGGGACATAGGAAAAAAATTGACTTGAAATAATTATACTTAATCTCACATCCACTAATGACTCTTGCGTAGAATAAAAAACTTATACTAATTATAATTATTTAAAAAAAAAGTTAGTAAACTAAGGATAAGAGTAGCTCAATAATCCATTTAGAAGTATTTCTATACCAAAAATTTCACGAACCAAATAAAGTATGTTTGTCAAAGCGAGCATAACTCTAATTGACATATACATCGTTCAAATTCAGTCTCAACATGTTGTATTGAAAATAAAATAATAATAAAATAAAGGGTATGTTTTTTTTTTCAAAAAAAAAGAAAAAAAAAAGAAAAAAAACTATATTTTAAACTTTCTTTAAGCTATTTCCATCCAAATCTCTCAACCTAAGCAATTTCATACATTGCCCATCGACACAGCGCCGGAGCCGGCGGCCGAGCTTCCGTTGTGCACCATGAGCATGCTCGCATCGAAGTTGAACACTGTAAAATTTCTCCTCTCGCTCTCTCAAGCTTCCTATTTTGAGAATTTTCTTCCATGGTTTTTTCCCCTTACTCGCTTCTGTTTCAGTATCTCTGCAGAAGAGAGCCTGTGCGGACCCTGCAATTTCGCACTTTTTCAGCTTACAACGAAAGCGGTAAATTCTCTTTTTCTTTTGATTTCTTTCGAAGCAATCGATCTATTTTCTATCATCCGAAGACATGGGTTGTTTGGTTTCCCATATGATGCACTCGAACTGGGAATTAAGGGTTTCTTATTAGATGGCTATCATTTAATTAATATCATTAGTTTTTTCGATCTTAGAACCCTGTAACCAACCAATTATTAGAAATTTCTGTACACTGTTGATCTTATTTTCACATGCTCGTGCTTCTGTGGCATTTGTTGAAGAAGTTTTTGAATTAGAGTTTTGATGATTCATTGAGAAAAGTTTGGAGGTGTGGGTCGATTTAGAAGAATATTTTCAATTTGTAAGAGGAACTGGATGAGTTTCCATGCTCCTTGTGATTGTTGTTAAATGCCTGATTGAAATTGAGTTAATTTCAGAGATCGAGAAGGAGGCTGAAAGAAAAGTAGGATGGTTATTGAAACTAATCTTTGCTGGGACTGCCACATTTCTGGGTTACCAGATTTTTCCATACATGGGTCTGTAAACGATGTCTCTAAATTGCTTTTTTGATTTCTTTTGAAGTGAAATATTTCTAGTTTTCGAATCCTTTACGGTGTTGTGTTGAGTTAGATTTGTTCTTACAGGGGATAACTTGATGCAGCAATCTGTGGCGCTCTTGCAAGTCAAGGATCCATTGTTTAAGAGGATGGGAGCATCTAGATTGGCTCGTTTTTCGATAGACGGTACCGATACTCACTTCCCCCCTCTTGAATTGGTTAAAGCTTTTGAAACTATTGATTGTAAAACTAGTCTCAAACTTCTACCTGTCGTCGAAACTTTGTCCCAGGATCAACAGTAGATCTTGTTAGCCCATCACATTTTCCTCCCCAGGTTTCTTTAAAATTGTTCTAAGACCTTTTATTGAGATTCAGTAATCATGAAACCATCATAAATATATATAATTGTAGCTTTCATAAATCCTCAAATTTAATCAACAAACTCTTTTGATCTTCGTTTCTTTAGAATCTTTTTGGCTTGTGCTTGGATGTTCCCTTTTTGTTTCTTTTTGTGGCTGTTTGAGGAACCGAATGTTTCTTTTGCTCCCAAGGAAGTTGTTTTTTTCTGGATGTCCTTTTGTTTCTACTTGTAACTTTTCATAATATCAATAAGAAGTTATGTTTCGGGAAGCTCTTTTGAACACAACTTAAAATTGCGTGAGATAAAAACGTTGGCGAGTTAAATTGCTGATTGATTAACTAAATCAGCTATTGGGTCATATTCCAGCATAAAAAGATGTCAGGAACTTCTTACTACATTGGAAAATAAAAGAAGTGTCTTTCAAGAAGGGATCATACATTTACCCTTTCTCTCTCATAGAAACTTGATCTTAAACTTATCTGCAAACCTTTTTTTACAGATTTTGCTTGCTAACCTTTCATCAAGCTTTTTGTCGTCTTTGATAGAGGGATTATAACCAGGATTGGTGGGCTTTGATGGAGGAGGTTCTGTTGTCTCCTCCCAAAGGAAATTTCTCTGGCAGGCTTATTTCTTTGCTATTTTATGGTCAGTTAGAGGAGTAGTGGCCTGTTTCTTTTAAAAGTCTTTGCTATTTTGTGGGAATTTGGATGGGGAGAGAATATAATTTTTAGGGGATGGAGAGATCTTGGGAGTATGTGTGAGAGATGATTAGATTTAGTACTTCCCTGTGGAGTCGGTTTCTAAGTTGTTTTGTAATTGTCTCCTAGGTGTTATTCTTTCGGATTGGAGCCCCTTTCTTTAGGTGGGCCTCCTTTCGTTGGGTTGTTTTCGTATGCCCTTGCGTATTCTTCGTTAGTCAAAGTCCGATTTCTCATTAAAAAAAGACTTCCGATCAAACTTTTTCAACCTTTATCCTCTTTATCCTTGCAGATTAGATGAAAATTTGCCAATTTTAGAAGACCAATTGAAAAATGTTTAAGAGTGAATATAGTCCATCTCTAGTTTTACCTTATTGCACTTAATTTATTGGTAACTTTCAGAATCTCAACTGACTTTTCTTGCAAGGAAAAGCCTGTTAAGTTTACTGCTGAGATCTGATTACAAGCCTTTTCATTCTTTGCAATTACAGATAAAAGAAGAATGAAAATAGTGGAGATGGGTGGAGCTCAAGAGCTCTTAAACATGTTGGGGGCTGCCAAAGACGACCGCACGCGTAAGGAAGCTTTGAAGGCTTTACATGCCATCTCTCATTCAGGTCCGAATTCTAATTCATACCAGTATTACTTTAACTTATTGTTTACGCTTTAGTTTTAATCTTCTCTACGAGCGACAAGTTTTTAGCGTAGGATTTGAATACATAAATATGAATATCACATCTGGATTTGTGATGCTGGGTCTCTATTGCCCGAGTTCTGATCTTGAAATTAACACAATGATTTTGCATTTCCTCCTAAATTTAGAAACCATGACGATATAGGTGGTTTTCTGCATCCATTTCAAAACGTTCATTTTCGTTTTTTAGTTTTTCTTTATATACTTTTTCAGATGAAGCTGTCAGTGCTCTGCATAAAGCAGGGGCAATCTTGGTTATTAAATCTACTCCGGATTCGGTTGAAGATACGAAACTGAACGAGTTCAAGTCCAACCTAATAAAGAGATTTGAAGATCTTAGATACGATGTCTCGTCTTGACATGTAAGAGTTTTATTTATTTCATTTGTAGTTGTTTAGTGTGGGGGTATCAAGATGAAGCCATGAAGCCTCTAAAGATATCACAAGGTTATGAACTGCATTCACTTCAAATGAGTGGTGGAAATTCAAGACGGGCGTTGTACATTTTTTTACTGTCTGTTTTACATTCTTGCAAAGCGGGTTTTCTCGGGTTGAGATACTTTATAAGTAGTTATCTCGTCGTTGCGGGAACCTCTCCTGTTTAACAAAGCGGGTTTTCTTGGAAAGAATTGAGATGCTGAAACTAGCTTTGTTATGCTTTTAGGAATAAAATTGATGCATCACCCTTTTGCTCATGTTTTCATATTTGATTTTCAGATTAAGGACCCCTCTTTTGGCATTTTCAGATGTAATTTTCAGACCCAAAGTTTAATTGACCTTACACAATATTTGCAATCAATTTCTCACAAACAAATACAGAACTTAGAAAACCCACTCACAATTTAACATTACATCTTTCAAATATACAAAACCTGAACTTTTATTCCCTTTTTTTTTGGTTCAAATCGACCTACCTTAACCAAGAGCTGGGCTCAGATTAACATACAAAACTGAACTTAAAATGGCAAAAAAATAGTGTTTACAAACTATACAACCAATCATCAACTCCAGAACACAAAGAATTGGAACTTTCAAAACAATTAACGATATCTAAGACTTACTTTTCAATGCATTGTTTATGTTCGTAGAAATGGCAATGGTGCTGGTCGCTACTGCCAGAATTACCATTATTGAAGCAACCAACTTGTCCTTCTTTGTTGATATTCCATTCACATCCCTACATAACCAAAGAAATTTTGGTTAAAATTCAACTCAAATGCTTAAATTTGATACGTTGCGTGTAAATTTAATCTTTTTTAATATATTCTCATGATCATATGTGATTAGGCTGACTATTAACACGACAATGAACTGAAGATAACATTGTAAAGTAAAAAGTTTGAATGTTTAATCACATAAAAGAGGCTATTTGAGTGTGTGTGTGTTTTTTTTCCTCTAAAAATTGTTTGAAAAGATGTATTTTACTTGTGTTTCCAATTTTTCTCTTCCAACATTTAAATTGAGTTCCACTAAAAAATAAATGGTGTCTATAAATTAGCAGTAAATTTATCAAAACAGAAAAGAAAAAAGAAATAACAAAATATTATTTCTATTTACTATACCTTATCAAGTTATTCTAAAAACTCATCCAACTAAACAAGTTATCAACCTAAAAATGGAAACATGATTCTCATAGAATTAAAAACTTATGCTAATAGATCTAAAATGTTCTCAGCATACTCCCTAGATTTGTCAATAAAATAATACTGTAGAGATTTAAACTTATAACATTCTATTTCGTACCACCCTAAATGATTCATAGATTTAAAAAGGCTTAAGTTAATGCATGAGAGGAGGTAAAATTTGTACCTAAGAGCGATGGCGCCGGGGAAGATGAAGGCGAGACAGACAGCTGTAGTTGAGCCCATGAACTGAAAAATATACCATATGTTTGGGAATGCTATTGCAGCCAAGTAGGAGAAGACCAGCAAAGCCAGAGTTATGGCCAGAAACCTTTTTGTATCCGTGGCCAAAGGAGGCTTCTTTGGGAACAGGAATTCATTTATATTGGACCTCAGGGGGAAGTTTTGCAAAGGGAAAACCAGCATTAGATGAACTGCATAGCTTAATCTCACCACATCATTCAACAAAGCTCCAAATTCTGAATCAGGACTCTCATCAAAGTTCATCAGAATATCTGACATTAACGAGTCCCCAAATAGTAGGTACCCAAAAATGCCGATCACGAAGTAGATAACAGCGCACAGAAGGAGCGCGATCCGAACTGCCGTGATCATGTGTGATGGCTTTTGGAGCTCAGAGCTTATTGGATGAACTACCAATATAAAAGAAAGATTCTTTTATCAAATAGGAACGAATAAATCAAAAATAAAATTTGTGGAATGAAGAATAACATACAAATTCTAATTAAATGCTTAATTTCTAATGATGAATCTCCATCTACTGGATAGATTTCTACAGAGAATTCTTATTCAGACGAAAAATTCTAAAACCATCTAATAAAAACAATAGAATCTTTCATCTCAGTCGAATAAAAATTAGACTTTATATAAGGGGAAACGGGGACAGGGAAATTTCTGTACAAAATGTGTCCCGATCCTGTGGCGAAAATTAACGGTCCACATGCTAGAAAAAAGGGAACGAAAGGAGTAAATAAATTAGTTAAAAGAAAAGTGGTGGGGCTAATATAACAAACGATTGAGAAAAAAGAACGTTTTACATAAGATTATAATATTTTTGAAAATCTTTTATTGATTCTCACACATTGGACCACAAATGGAAAATCATTCTACTCTTTTTTTTAATTAAAAAAATCATAAAAATGAAAACTAATTAAAAAAAAAAACTCTCATTCTCTCCTAGGTTTGGCAAATTAGAACCGACAAAACTTGTAAAATTGATCAAACCAACAATCGATTGGTCGATTCAAGGTTGTTCGGTTTGATCCATGATCAATTGTTTCGAATTTCAATTTATAATACGGTAAAAATCAATCAAAATGGGTGGATTTTAACCCTATCTTCAATATAACTCAATTAATTAAAATACCTATTTTTAAGCGTATGCCATGAAAGAATCATAATTTCGAATTAAAAAAAAATTTATCTTAAGATTATTATAATCGATAATTTTAGTTCTCTCTCTAGTCTTTGACACCTCATAGCTAGACAAGACTCACCGCCCCCGCCTGAGCCTATAAACCTATATTCAGTTTTAATTTCCTCTTTCTTATCAGTTCCGGTTCGGTTAGACCGGGAAACATACCGAACATAATTGAACAGCTAATTTAATTACAGCTACAGGATAGGGTTTTTTGGTTGTTACTCACCATTGAAATGGAAAGTGAAAGCTGTGACAAGAACAGGCACAGCAGTGAAAAGGTCGAAGAAGGAGGTTTGATTATCCAGCTCCGGTAACAATCTGGTGCTCTTCGTTTTGCCTTGAACCAGCGCCATTATCGCCATTACAGAGCTTATCCCCACGAAAACCACGGCCAGAACAACTGATATAAACGAACTGAAACTCAGAGAATCTGAAACAAACAAATCCGAATTGGCCGCAATTAAAGCAACAACGAACAAGAATCAGAAGATTGATTAATCGACATGATTCGATAGTTTCAGGTTACTGACCAACGCGTCGGAAAAGAACCAAAGGAAGCAGAACGAAGACGAGAGTGAAAAGGATTGAGAACTCTCTGGTGTTCCACCAGTGATGCCCAAACCATTCTTGCAGAACTCCTAAATGCACCTCTCCTCCTTCCTTGTTTCCGGAGAGCACGTCCCCTGGAAATTCCACAGATCAGAGCAAAATCAGAGAGATGGGAAGGAGAGAGATGATTCCGATTCCGATTCCGACATTTGTTCGATTACGAAACAAATCGGAAATTAATCTCAAATTCAAAAGAATAACAAGAGGAATCGAAAAACACTATGCGATTTCACCATCGCCAATCAAATCAGATGATGATAATTTCCAGCCCTAATCTTAAACTACAAACTACAAAGCAAGTAAATCAACAATCAATAATTAATCTCTAAAGTTCGGAGAACTTACCTATTATAATCTGGTACATGATCAAGCAACCGAGATTGGTAACCATGACACAAACCTGTGTAGCAACCGAACCAATCGGACCAAACGACTCCTTCATCAAGCCGGCGTAGGTGGTGGAGACGCCGGAATGAGTGAATCTGAGCAAAATCTCCACCGATATGTCGGTCATGAAAGCCACGAACACGATCAGGACGAGGGCGGGGATTACGCCGAGGACCTTAAGAGCGAAGGGAATCGACATGATTCCAGCGCCGATTATGCTGGTGGAGACGTTGAACACAGCGCCGGAGACCGACGCAGTCTTCGAAGCCGGCTTCTTCGCCGGCAGGAGAGGTACGTTCTCCGGCGCCGGCGACATCCCGGCAGTGAGTCAATGAAAACCTGGAGAGAATAACGGTGGAAAAGACGAAGAAAGAAGAAAAACAGAGACGTCAAATCTTCCCGTACGCGACGATATGGGTGGCTAATATAATATTTATATTCCACCATTAATGGTAATGGTGGATCATGGGGGAGAGAGAGGAATTTACCAAAATGTCTCCATATGTGGTAGGTTCTTACTTGTTGACTCGAACTTTTTGATGGAAAATATATATATATGACTATATCTTTTTTATAAGAAGTTGATCTGTAAGAAGAAGAATTAGGTCGAAAACCTATCGAAGAGAAGCAAATGAAAGGCGGATAGTAAAAATTCTATTAATTCTTATGTTGGACTTTTTATTTGTATATTTTCTACGGAATCTAGATTCAAATAACACAACTTTTTGATCAAATATATACACTTTAATCTGTTTACCTCTCTGACCAGTCGAATAGTGGACCAATAAAAGTACACTACATCAAAAGTTCTAGCTTCTTACTAGAGTTATATCGGACATTCTTCATCTTATTTTGAATTTATTGTTATTGTTATTATAATTATTTTGATATCGTGTCAAAGTCATCGAAGTATAAAAAATATTGGTTACAACCATGATTAACAATTTAACAAGTTAGTTAAAAGATGAAAATATACCTTAAAAAAGAAATTTAGAAACTAGATCAAAACAATAAATATAAATAAAAAGAAATGTATGAGGCCTAGATGATGGGTAGATGCTTGTGCCCGTTTGGCTAGTGAAGGGCAATAATGGCAGCCTATTAAAATCAATGATTGAGAGTGTTTATATGATTTAATAACAATAAAATTTACCCGATAAATTTAATATAACTCCAACATATCATCAGATTTCTCGATTCATATTTATAATGTTATATTCTTGTAAAAAAATAATAAATAAATAAACTCATTTTGCAAATAAGAAATTATGTAAATGATTATTTTTAAAAATTGGATTAAAATTCTATTTGATCTCTACCTTTTAAGATTTGATTGCTCTTAACAGAAAAAGAATGTCGTAGTAAAATAATGATGTGACAAGATGACATTGTTTTTTAATTAGTAATTAACCTTTTTACCAATACTAAACTATATAAAATTAAGATTATGGAATAAAAATTAAATCACATTTATCTAAAAGCATAGCATCGGCTCCACGTCAGCATAATGTGTATTTATTTATATGATGATGAGCATGAACTTTTATTTCCTTTTTCCCCCATTTTTCTTGAGGCATTTTGTTGTTTTTATTTATGAAATTATTTCTTTTTGGGGTTAAATGCTTGTGGTTGTCCGGACATAAAGATATCGATATGTTTCTTTCGGTTTGCCGACATGTTTTTTTGTGTTATCATTTTTTGGTTTAAATAAACACGGTTTTTTCTTTTCTAGTTATTGCATTTTGAACTTTAATTCACATTTTAGTATATATTTTTTTTAAAATATCTATTTTGAGGGATTGTAATTCTAACTTTTGTTTATTTTAGTTCTTAATACTTATGGAAGAAAAAAGGTTTGTTTTGAACTTTATACTTTTAAAAGATAACTGTTTTAGTCTATTTTGTAAAATTTTAATATAAATTTTATACCTAATGAAAATTTTAAAATATGATTTTATGGCTACATTTTAAGAAATTTTACGAGTAAAGTATCATGCTAAAATTATGATCCAAAGGAATGTTATAAAATAAAAATGAAGAAACTAAAATGACCACTTTTTAAAGGGATAAGAAAAATATGTTTTTAAAGTATAGAGATTAAAATGAATAAAAGTTAAAAGTAGAAAGAATCATAACTAGATGTTGTAGGGTCATATGGTTGCTCAGTAAGATTGGTCGAAGTACGTGTAAGTTGACCCAAATACTCACGGATGTCAAAAAAGAAAAAGTAAATAAAAGTAGAAGGATAAAATAGATGATTTAAAAAATATAAAAATTAAAATGAAGTATGAAGTTAAAAGTGGATGAATTAAAATAGTATTTAAATTTTGTTTTTATTGACAACAACTTGGGGATGACGGGAGAAATAGTGACCTCAATCCAATTATTGGAGTTACATTTTTTTTAATACTTATTATTATTTTTAAATAATGTTTTAATCTCATATATTTATAGTGTTTTTCTAATATAGTCTTTATTTTTTAATATTTTCAATTACACACTTCTGGTTGGTAAATGTTAAAATTAGTCGATGATAAATTTATATTTTACAATATTAGTAATAGATATTCGAGAACATCCTAAGATAAAAGGTCTGCAAAAAAGAATTAGTACTCCGAAGATTTTGTCAATGTCCTGTCCAATAGTAAACTTTAAGTTGAAGATTAATAATTTTGCATACCCTTAAATTCCCGTTCACTACAAGAATTTTATTTTTTGGTGACGGAAGTTTTGGCGACGAATTGAAATTTCGTCGCCATAGGGTACTTTTGGCGACAAAAATTACATCTCGTGGCCAAAAGTATCCTATGTCGACGTTGGCATGAGGGAGGAATTTCATTTGAATTTGCGGTTCACAATCCGTAAAGGTAGGTAACTACATGCTTAGTAGAGAGAGATTGGTTGAGTTGTTTAAGGGTTCAAGTTACTTGGTCTAGTTTCAGTTTATATAATTTTTAAAGTTTCAATCATACTATGTAGTTTTAAGAGTTTCTATTTTGTTTATATGGTTTATTTAAAATTTTCGCAGAGCACATCACATCTCTGTTATTTCAAACTAGTATTTTGAGTGATAATATTTACGAATTAATTAGAGCATGTTCGGTAATGTTCTTGGTCTGATTTCTAATTTCAAATTTTTGAAAACCATAAGTATTTGATAGTTGTTTCTCATTTGTAAGAAAAGATTCAAAATTTTGTAGAAATTTTTGAAAGAACATAATCAAGTTTCTTGTTCATGTTTTTAAGTTTTTCCAAAACATAAATAAAAATACTATTTTATCATTCTTGACTTATAAAATAAATAATAAATAAAACATACACATTTCAAATATTTAATTTAAAAATTAATTAATCTAGAGAAAGTTTCTATTTTTTTAATAATAATAAAAAAACAAGAAATAATTATCCAACTATGTTGTTTACTTATTAAAAAAATAGGAAACAAAAAAAGGAGTAGAATCTAAGAAACAAAAATGTTACTGGTGGACTTTTGGAGTTTACAACCAAATAAAAAATAGGAAAAAATGAATGGATTTTCATGTGGGTAAAAAAATAATGTAAGAACACTGTTGGGATTGATGGAGCCAAACCGCAATTGAAAAAGAATTGGAAGCATTGAGGAATGAAATTGAAATTTTTGCTGCATGAACTAGCTTGCCAGAAGGGGCAACATTGAGACATTGCAGAGAGCATCTCAACATAGTGACATATAGGTGGAAAATCAGAGAGGTGCACAAGGGTTTGCGTTTGACAGTGCAACATCCGTAGCGTTGAGATGCCAATTGTAGCGTCTCAACACTATGGCAAGAATTTAAATAATCATTTGTTTTTCATTTAAGTGAAGTTATAGGGATTATTTTCAGCCAAATTTGGGAGAGTTTTTGTGGCAACTCAAAGGTAGCAATTCAAACGTTGGTAGCACACAAAGATGACAGATCAAGATCATTGTTTGGGATAATTAGTTCTCGATACTTTGTGAGTTATTTCATTCCTGTACTTAAACATAGTGCTTAGAATACTTAGAAGCCATTTGCTTTTGTTGAGATCTCTAGAGGGTGAATAACTAGGGGATATTTGAGTTCTTACTTGTATCCAATTCTCATATTAGTGAAATCCGCATTTGAGCGGAAGACTGGACGTAGCTATTAGGCAAACTAGTATAATTATGTTGTTTCGTTATTACTTTCCCTATTTTCTCATATATTGTTTGGTTGACTATTTATTTGGATATAACTATGGAGGGAGAAATTGCGTGGAGCGCCTAATTTTCCGACTGACACATTATAAAATTTAATCCAACTCTAAAAACTAAATTAAAACTTTTTAGTTCGTAAACACCAAATTACTAAATTGGTAATTTAATCGTATTCTTAAATCAATAAAATCGAAGCAACTATGCCACGTGGAGGAAAATGGACCATTGAGGGTGGATAATGATAAAGATAATGCAATACATTACAAAAAGAAAAGAAAAGAAAAGAAAAATATTATATAATATGAAATGTTGTGTAATCATATACGCATTCATCATGATAATTAAAATTTATTAAAGGCACGTTTAATTACTTGTTCTTTTTTTCTTTTTATTTTATTTTTTGAAAATGATTTTTTCTCCTTTTAAAAGTTTTAGTCGAACACGAAATTAGACTCCTCATTTGTTGTTTTCCAAATTTTTTATTTATATGTCGGATTTGATAAATTTTTTTATATATTTCTAAGTTTCATTTTTTTATTAGCCAAAAAAAACCAAAAAGAGAATATATTCTTAAAAAACATAAAATCAATAACATTTTCTATTTTTAAAAGTAGAGAGATATGTTAGAGAAAAAAACTTATTTGGTGAGAAAAATTTTAGAGAAAGAAAAATGAGATAATAAGAAATATGTTAGAGATAGAAAAGTTAAGAAGATCTCATAGATAGATTAGAGAGATATTATTTGAAAAATAAATATAAATCAGAAAGAGTGGTGGAAAAATTAAAAAAGAAAAAATTTTAGAGTGATAAAAAATGAGAGATACACATACCAGAGAAAAATAAATTAGAGTGATAGAAATAAGAATGATATTCTTCAAATTAGTTTACTTGATCTATGTCACAAATAAAAAAGATCTTAATACTTGATTTATCTTAAATATAATAAATAGATCAGAATAAGGTAAGAATGAAACTTTAAGGAATTTGTCAATAAAATAATTACCTTTTGTTTTTAGTTTTTACTTTTGATTTTAAATTTTTTTAAAAAATAAGATAATCAATTCAATTTTCTATTTTTTTTAAAATCTATTTTGAAATTCGGTGTGAATTAAAAAAAAAAAAAAGAGTAGTTTTCAAAATCACGTTTCCGTTTTTCAAAATTTGAATTTTTTTCTAATACTGAACTTTTTTTCTTTATCATACTTATCTCTGAAAAAGATTTCTTTTTCATTATAAAATTTGTTTTCTTTTTAAATTTCTCTTTACAATTTTTTTTCTCTCTACGAAACTTTCATGTTTTGAATTTTTATTATTATTTATCTCTCTTCAAAATTTTCATTGATGTGTAGTTTTATTTTTTATTCTTTTTTATAATAGATCAATTTCATTTCTCTTTAAAAATTTAATACTTTTTTCATAATATTTTTCTCTATAACCTTTAGTCTTTTAAAACTTTTCTTTTTCTTCTTACTCTATTTTTTCCAATGAAAATTATATATTATTTTCTAGTTCAATTTTCTTTTGCTGTAATTTTTATTTATCAATATATTTATTTATTTTCTCTAAAAATTATATTCTGAATATTGTCTTTAACTTTTTTTTCACTAAGTTTTTTTTTATTTTTTATTCATATCTTTAAAATTTATCTTTCAAAAGTTTATTTTCATCTCTCTGGACTTTTATTTTCATGTTTCTACATTAGGGATACAAAAATTTCCATAGGGTCAAGGTCCAAAAATAGAAAATGTATGTCCCGATCCCATCACTGATTCCATTTTTAATTAATTAATATATATTTATTACATTTTTTTATTTTTTAAATTCTAAAAATAATTAAAAACAATTATAAAAATGATAATTTTTCTCGAGAATATCTCCCGGATCGAAGAACGAGGTAAGGACAGTTATTAAAAATTTTCACGAGTACGAGAATGAGAGAGAACATCCTCACTCCGCACCCACACCATTGTCATCTCTACTCTACATATAATTTTCTGTCTCTAATATGTATTTTCAATTTTCTAACTTTTTAAAACAGAAAACTAAAAATGATTACCAAGGTAAAAAAAGATGGTTATCAAACCTATATATTTTTTGTTTTTAAGAAATAGAAAACCAAAAACTAAAAACACAAAAACTAAAAACAAAAAAATCAAACGGGGCGAATCTGACTTAGTGACATCAATCCAGCTTCTTCGACATGAGGTTTCGACCATGGAAGATAAAGTAAATTGGATATTTGGTTTTTGATCTTTCTCGTTTTTGTTTTTGATTTTTAGTTCTCTGTTTTTAAAAAACAAAAGTCACATATATTTGATAACTGCTTTCTGTTTTTAAAAAACATAAAACCAAAAATGTTTAGTAACCCTTTTTAGTTTTCAATTATTAAAAATTTAGAAAATTGAAAATGTATATCAGTGAGAAGTACACCAGAGATGATAAGGGGGTAGGACAATAATGATGTAGGGCGAAAGTAAGGATGTCCATGCACATGAAAATTTCAGTCCCTCGTCTGCACCTCGTTCTTCAGTTTGGGAATCGAGATCCATGTTAAAAAATTCTTATATGGGAATGGGCAAATTCACACAAAAATTATCGGTTTTATAGTTTATTTTAATTATAATTTTGTTTCCAATATTTGCTTTAGAAGGTAATGCAGTTTTTTTTTTTTGAAAGGTAAAAGGTAATGCAGTTGAAGTTTATTAATTTATTTCTTTGTTTTATTTTACATTTTAACAATATTTTTGAAATCTTAGTCAAATTGTTTTTAAAATAAGTTTTTGGAAAACTATATTTTATAAGTTCTTAAACTGTAGATCTAACTTTTAAGTAGAAGCAAAGTTTTCAAACTTAAAAAATGGTAAACAAGCCGGTCTCATCATTCTTTATGATTGTAAATTTGTAATAATTAAAAAAAAGTTATATTATGGATTTTAGAAAATAAAATTGTATTATTTTCTAAGTATATATAATAAAGAAAAGAAATTTGAAAATTTCTATGAAGAAGCAAATAACTACCTTAGCTTAGGAAAACTTAATTATTTAAATATCATTATTTCAGAAATAATTTTTTTAAATATTTTTGTTTTACTTGGAGCAAAACAAAATTGTTTTTTCACCTTGCTGTATGTGGCAAATTCGTACCTTGAAGAAACAGTGTTTGGCCACTCGAACAAGATCATTTCTTCAAGAGATGAAATCAAAACTACAATATTTTAAAAATTAGTTTTGAACTAATAATTTTTTCTTATTTTACAAACTTTTTAGTTTCCCACAACATCAACCAATATTAATATATACGTATATCAATGTCTAACGAGTTGAATGTTATATATGCTTAGTTCGACTTTCATATTTTATCTTGATACAAACAACTTTTGCATTTTTAAAATATATGAAACTAAACTACAAAGGAGTGGAGGGAGAAGTCGATAAACATAATTCAATTGGTTAAGACATTAATTACTTACCTCTGTAAAGGTGTTGAAATTTCGAATCCGCTTCTGAACTAAAAATAATAAGGGAGAGAATATTTACTAAACTATACAACCAAAAATATTCTATCACCCCCAAAAACAAAAATAATGGAACTTCCATAATAATTTGATACCTTAAGAATTGCTCAATGCCTTGTTTATGTTTGTAGCAATGGCAATAATGCTGGTTGCCACTGCCAGAGTTACCATTACTGAAGCAACCACCTTGTCCCTTTTTGTTGATATTCCATTCACATCCCTACATGACCAAACAAAAATAACTAAAATTTAACTAAATTTAAAATTTTATCTGATCATAACCCTCTGAACTTTGAATAATTTTGTACCTAATAAGGCTCTGAAGTTTAAAAGTGTTATTAAAGGGTTCCTTTTAACTCTCAATTTTGTGTCCAACTAGATACCTAAACCTTAATTTTTGTGTCGAGTAAACTCCTTGCCTATTACACATTTATTAACATTCGTAGATTTATTAGATATAAGGTTGAATTATATGTCTAATAGAGCTCTAATACCTCAATTTTGTGTCTAATAGGTATGTGAATTTTTAAAAAATATCTAATAAACTGGGGGATCTATTAGATACAAAATTGAAAATTTACAAACATATTAAATACTTTAAAAGTTCAACGACATATTAGACACAAAATTAAAAGTTAAGAGAGACATTAAATACAAAATTGAAATTTAAGGGATCTATTAGATATTTCTTACAGTTTAGAGACATATTAGACTCAACCTTAAATGTTCAAAGACTAAACTTTTATTTTAACCATAAATTTTGTTTGAGCTTAGTTTCAATTCAGAAGTTTCAATTTGGCCAATGATTTTACTGAATCTCACAAGTGGTCCCTAAATTGCATTCTTCCCACTCGAAAACTCTTCCCATATCATGTGAAAAAAAAATATGATAGAACAAGTCGATTTGTGAAGTTTAACAAAATCTAGGAATCAAATTCAAACCATAAGAACCAAATTCGAATTTTAAAACTATAGGGACTAAATTGAAGTTAAATCCAAATTGTAGAGACCATATCAAAACTAAACACTGACCATAATGACCAAGTTAACAAAGCGAGCATAGCTAACAGTAATTGGTATGTATCTCAAATCAAGAGTTTGTGGGCTCGATCTCCCACCCCAACATATTGTACTAAAAAAAAGTTAACACGTTTTAACCCCAGCATTTTAAAAGAGATTTGTTTCACAAAAGCCCTTCGCGATTAAGAAATATCTGTTAAGACAATGTATTATGAAACTAAAATATTGAGGGTTAAAATTGAAACATTTAAAATATTGAAACAAAAATTGAAACAAATTAACCACATATATATTAGGTGTTTGTAATAAATATTTGATTTCATCATGCCCCTAATCTTATTATTTATTTATTACTTTTTTAATATAACATGTGGGCCCCCCTAATCTTTGTTCTTTGTTTCCATTTTTCTTTCATAATGTATTAAAACATTCAATTATATATTACCGTTACCAAGGGTCCTTTTGTATCAAATTAAAACTTTTAAAAGACAAAATCCCATCCAACTAGAACTACATAGTTCAAGGTCATTTTGTATAATTTAGCCTTATAATTCCAAAATATAAGCATTCGAGGTCGATCGGAGTACCTGAGAGCGACAGCGCCGGGGAAGATGAAGGCGAGGCAGGCAGCTGAAGTTGAGCCCATGAACTGAAAAATAGACCATATGTTTGGGAACACTATTGCAGCCAAGTAGGTGAAGAAGAGCAAAGCCATTGTTATGGCCAAAAACCTTGTTGAATCTGTGGCCAAAGGAGGCTTCTTTGGGAACAGGTACTCATTTATATTGAACCTTAGTGAGAAGTTGAGCAGAGGGTAAACCAGCATAAGATGAAGTGCATAGCTTAATCTCACCACATCATTCAACAAAGTTCCTGTTGTTGAATCAGAACTCTCATCAAAGTTGGTTAGAATGTCTGACATTATTGAGTCCCCAAATAACAGGTACCCGAAAGCGCCAATCGCGCAGTAGATAACGGCGCAAAGAACGAGCGAAACTCGAACCGCCGTGATCATGTCCGATGACTTCTGAAGTTCAGAACTTATTGGATGAACTGCATGATATAGGAAGAAGAAGAAAACATTCGTTACATTGAACAACTTTTCAATCATCAAGTTCTATTGATTTCTAAAATTGTATTTGGTAGATTTTAGAATCTAGATGGAAATCAAGGGGGCTGTAGTTGATATTGTTTTACTAATGTAAAATTGATACAAAATTAGAAAAAAATTATTTGTCAGCCCCTTATGATATATATCTATTTTTGGTCATGAGCATGAAATTTGATTTTTCCTATTTTGACTAAATATGTTAATTGACTATATTATGATTTTAGGCCAAGTAAAAAATTGAAAGGGAAATATGTGGATTTTTTCYAGTGGAAAAAAATATTGAGTTAATCAAATAAGACGAATTAAATTGAAAGTAAGATCAATCTTAAGGATTAAATTGAAAATTTTAAGACCTTAAAGAATAAAATTAAAACTATACTCAAATTATATGAACCAAATAATTTAAATAATTTAAGTCAAATAAAATCCTTCGGGTCAAATAAAAAAAATAAAAAATAAAAAATAAAAAATAAAAAGTATACAGGAACTTGGTTTAAGAAGATTTTTTACACCAACTTTAAAATTCGGGTCGATTGGTTCTACTACGAGTAGGAAGCTTAAGTGTCTACACAATCTTACCAAACTCTTAATTGGGTTTGTGATTGGCATGGCTGAAATATTTATTTTTCATAAATATTTATAATATCTCTCATTCTTTAGATCTACAACACCAACAGTAACGAGAATAACATTTCAAATAGGAAATTGACTCAATTCACCTGAAAAAGTTTCCATTGTGCTCAAATGACCTAAATTATAAAACTTGACTCAACTGACCCAATTTTAACTTTTCTGACATTTCAGAGAGTCTGTAATTACAAATATACCCCAAAATGAATTGAACTACAACAAATCTGCCACGGAATCACGTAGGTTGGTGTAATTAAAACCATGGGCGAGTTTCACTTGATTCATGGCCATGAATTTATTAAAGTACCACCAACTTAATAATTCCCCCACCAAATTTTTGTACTATCATTTATTATATACCCACACATTCTCACCGATTGCAGAGAATAAAAGTATGTTTCAGTCTGTATTGTCCAGAAGCACATCTTTCACGTGATTTTGAATAACTTCCATACCTTTTCCAACATTTTTCACATCTTGAATCCATTAAAGGAAGTCAATTTTTCATCTCTGACATCTTGAACAAGGTTAGTTTTTTATTGGTTCATAATATTGTTTTCTATTCGTCTAGAATATGATGTATTTAGTTGGAGTAAATGGAATTTCTGAATTTTTATCAGTATTTTTGTGGGTAAAAGAAGTTACGTAAGTCAATGATTCATGGCCGTGGTCAATGGTTTTCTGATTAATGGTCGTGGTTTTAGGTCGATTGCATACAGATAACCTTGATCGGTTCACGACCATGGTCCATTTTGTCGATTCGTGACC